CTCCTACGTCGATCCAACGGGTCAAAGACGCACAGTGTCTTATACAGCTGGCAAGAATGGATTCCAGGTGTGTTACAACATGCTCTGGCATTCGGATAAACATGTGCAACTTAATTCAAATTATTTGAATAATTACGTATGACGAAACATAAATGATTGACTAAATTAAGATGACCATTGGGTTTAATCAGTGTGTTTTAATTTTATTAAAAGGCAACCGGCGACGGGATTCCTGTGCCACCGCCGCAAGCTCCGCCGCAACCGGAGTACGAGCCGCTACCGCAGTACAACTCTCCCGATTATCAACCACCGCAGTACAACCCGCCTCCGCGGCCGTATCAACGTCCGAATCCACCGGTGTACGAACCTCAACCGGAACCTCAACCAGAGTATCAACCCCGACCGCAGTACCAGCCGAGACCTCAACCACCGTCCATCCCCTCGTACAACCCCCCGCCACAGTATCAACCCCCGGTTAAGCCGTTGCCGCAATACAACGCGATAACGACACCAGCCCCGAGGAGATTTTATCCACCGGGGAAACTGAACTTCAACAGGACTCCAGATGGCTACTCATATACCTTTAGCAAAACATAAGTAGGTACGTAACGTGTAATTTGAACGAGATCACCGCGAATCTTGTTTCATAAAGTGAAGTATATTTTTGGGTAAATGTACTCAATTTAAAAAATAGTTACTACAAACGAAATTCATCTCTACTGTTTTGTACACATGCTTTATTTTTCACGTAAAATCTGTTTAATTATTAGCATTTAAGTGCGTAACTATATGGCGCCGTAATTAATTTAGGGCGAAGTTAGTTACCGGTTAACTGTAATGAAATTGTGTAAATAAATTACAACTGTCAACTCATACGAATTTAATGTTCCGACGAATTTCGACGAATCTGATATCCTGGTTTGAACAGTGCAGACGGAAATTGGATCAAGTGCGCGATCATGCGTTAATAATGAAGAGATTGTAGATAGTCAGAGGCTTGTCCATGATCTTACTGCAAGGTTCCGACGTGAAACAAGTTGAACTTCCTCATAAAACGCTGCATAAATACATGAATTCATGAGGAAATGCAATAGATTGAATTGATACATTTGTATTACCGATTAGAAATGTGCAAACACGTTCAAACGTTCGCTAATGAGTCATTCAATCATAATCAGAATGAATCAAATAGAGACTCTTAATTTGACTATTAAGACACCTAATATGAATTTCCATCAGGTTTTTCATATCACAATATAAATTATAGACTAATGATAAGAGTTCAAACTTTCCATAGAGTAAAAAATGCGAACAAATAAAATTATTTAGTATTTATTTTTATTCTACGAACGTCGTTGAACCGCATTTTCTCGAACGATCCGATTGGTCGACGCCTCGCATTTTGCATAGCCACTTTCCTTCACAAATGCGAGCACTATCCCGCGCACTTCGGGGTCACATTACTTTCATTTAGTAACCTTTGCTTTGGCGTTCCCAACGTTGTTAAGACAAACCGTAGAGAATCCCACGATCCCGGGAGGGTGGATCCGAGACTCATTTATACTTGAGCCGTGCCCTCGAGCAAACATCCAGTGAGAAACAACGGTGAGCGGTGTACCATAAATAAAAAATAAAGCAAGGAAGAGTAGCGGAAGACGGGAGGAAGCGATATAAGAGTAACAATTAAATGCTATTTAAAAATAATGATCAAATACATATGAAGCATGATATAAAATTTATATTTGCATTTATAACAATTTTATTTCGCTTTATTCGAAAGTAATTTCTTATCTTTTAGTTCTCAACTGGACAATACACTTGACCTAACAGACTGAAATTAAACTGCATGGAATAAATCAATATTCAATTTAACATTGATTGAACAGCGATTGCTATTACTAATTTCATTCTTCATTTCGTTGAATACCGGTCCCTAAACCAAAGTATCCAATTCCTATTGTTTGTCATGAATTGGTATATAATAGGCGGGTCTCATTGTCACCTTCGTTCAAGTAGAAACGGAACAAAAGCGTCAGACAAAGGAACTATTATCTCATTATGTTGGCTCGCGAATAATATCTGTACGGCTCGATGGAACGAAGGGAAAAACGCAATTTGGTTGGGCGTTTGTTCACCGGTGACCGTAACACGGGTGCGGCAAGGCAAACCGGCCGGCTATCGAAGCAGGAACTCGATAACCTTAGCGGTGCAGTGCAGCGGCCCGAAAGAAAGAAACGCATACCGTAGCGTAGCGTTTCGTGTCACGTCCATGTCGTTTAAGAAAGTCGATCGATTTAATTTATGACCGAACGGGTGCAGCTCGCACTCGATGCAGCGCACTCCTGCTGTCCAGTGTCCACGTACATATTTGTTCAGCGCCCTGCATCCGCGCGTATCGCCGTATCGTTTGTCCGTTCAACTGTCCGACAAGTTGCCGAGACAAGATTATGACGGATCGGTTGCTTTGATCTCTGCGTTTCCTTACAGAGGAGCTGGTTGTCAAACGTTCAAAAAACATTGCTGTAGGATTTTTCAAAAAATTCCATTGATCGACTTTCAGATCACGATTTATATATGTATTCATTCCGGAACTTTCGTATTATTATCGATTCGTATGCATATGATCTGAAGTAATTTTAGCACTCACTTTTCCAGTTTCAAGCTTTATGTTTATGCGAATTCCTGAAGGACATCTTGTTAATCTCGATTAAAATGTGACGTACGAAAAATGAAGCGGTTTACTTTTTCTCAGTCGTGTTTTATTTATAAAGGTATATCGGTTATACATTTTGTTTCATGATTATGGCAGTAACATACTGACTCTGATTAGCTGCGTCTGACATCAACAGTATAAAAGTAGTCTACAAAAAAACAGCTGCTATTAGAGGCAGTGGCATCGAACATTTACTCTCTTCAAAACAACGTCAAAAAATAAAAATAATTAAAAAGAATGATGATCGTAGAGTAAAAGAACGAGGAAAAACCAACGCTCGCCATGTAATCCCTATAAACCTAACTTATCGCTATTTAAAAATACTTATGCCATTGTGCCTCCTCAACACGTTCTAATTTCAAATGATCGGAGCGATAAGTCCCAGAGAAAAGGCACTATACGTCTATTTAAATATAGCATTCGACTCGATCGTGTCTGTTAGTCACGATTACGAGTCATCGCTCTTCTCGCCTAGCACACAAAAATTCTCTTGGAAACAAGGGAAAAAACGAAGACAGCGCTGGACTTATTACTTCAATCTCCAAACATTTACATCACATCGACGGCGCGCGAATGGCAGGCATAATCGTTTTAATCGAATGTATTAATTTTCTTCATCCTTCCTTTCTTTCAATCGCATCGTTGCGTCAACTATCATCGATTCCTAATGATACACGGACGTTAAAGAAGTGAAACTGCACGCGTGCAAGTCCACAGAGCTGCATACTTATCAAATTTTTACGATACGGATCTGCGCTTTCATATTGTGTTCCGTGCTCGACGTTCCGCGTGTCTCTATCCTACATGCACATACATACAAAGTGTGTAAAAAATGTTCTCGTTAACGGCATTAAAAAAGAGGCCGGCATTTCTTGTCTTTTCGTTTTCTTTTTACATGGTTATCAGTTAAGTCGCTATAAATGGTTAATATACATACACATACATGTGTACTTGCGTTTGACGAGTGTTCGAATATATTTTCTTTCAGGATTACTCGCAAAACATACTTTTCTCTTCTCGTCCTTCGTTCTCTCCGCAACAATCGCAACTATTGTCGATTTGATTATTTCTATATTGCACTAGTTAGAATTATACAAAATATATACCTAAACGGTAGGCTTTGCTTCACTTTTTTTCATTCCTTTTTTGAAGTATACCATTTTAGGCACCGTTTTCCCGGAAGTTATTAAGATCGAAAAGAAGCCGAAAGTGGGTAGTACGTGAGGCAGGAGGCACGGCAGTTTCCTTGCGACATTATCTATTCGCCATGACTATCTAATATTTCTATTCTAAAGACGTGAGGAAGTTAAGCGCTGCGGAAGCGAGTTTCTATTCGGTTATTGGAAGAGGCAGTTTATTCACGATGCGGGTCTCTTGTAAATCATTTCACGAATCAATATTGTAATGTACCAATGTAGATTTTATATTTAAAAATAAAGACAATTAATATAGAATTATTGTCTTATCGAATCGGTTTGTTAATTAATATTACAATAAGGAAAATTGTTTTTACTTAAAACAGCAGTCAGATGCCTGCTAATCTGTAAAAACCCGCATATGTTGTTCTTTCCTTCTTGTTTTAATTATGCCAAAATAAACGCACGTATAATGTAACCCGAGTCCTATGCTCCCTAGTTAATTACCAGTATTTTAGGTTTTGAAGATGATCGTAACAACGAACGTGTGGAAGAGGAGGAAATTAATTAAAAAGAGAGGAAATAATTGAAAATAGCTATCTAAGGATAATTAAGTATGGTAATATTGTCAATGCTTACACAGTACCACGGTAAAAACTACACGTTTGGTATGCTACGTTATGTGGCTAATAGTATGTTGCCTTTGGAAGATCATTGAAACATCACTTTAAAAAAGAGAATAATTAGAATCACATAACTGGAATTGAGAACTTCAGTAGTAATTACTTAAACTACAGTAGTCTCTGAATACATGGCCATCGGCTTTCCACAGTCGTAACCGAGCACGTCTGTAACACCGAAAAATGATGACGGCGAAACAGAAAGAGAAAAGGTACGATACTCTGAAAAGAAGAGTGTGTTACAAACATGTTAAAACGCTAGTGGAATACCAGCTTGGAGCGAGCACTTCCATGGATGACTCGCGGCCATACATCCGGAAATTACTGTATTCTACTCCGAACGAAAACAGTGGAATAGTAATTTCGTAAAATTAGTTAAGCACAACGTTAAATATAGTTTGAATATGTTAAAACGTACAATGCTAGAAACAATTGTCCAGAAACAATAAAACATATAGATTGTAAAAAGTAGATCACGATAAAGTCAATTACAGTAAAATAGGATGAGTAAAAAATATAAAATGGCATTGAGAACAAACCTATATCGGATAGCGAATACTGCTAATGGTTAATGATGGTGGGAAGCTAGCTATGTAGGAACGTATACTATTAAGTAATCGTACTTAAATATTGACGCAATAGTGGATTCTATTACCAATGCATATCAGTATCGCGCCGATATCTAAACATCTGACAAATAACATACATGTCTCAAGTAATTATACAGAAAATTCCGGACGCACAGCAGCAGACTTACGGGTTACTCGAAATTTTTAATTGATATGTTGCGTAACGCGAAAAATATTATTCTCTGTTTTCTTGGAAACAAAAAGAATGATCTGCAAAACGAAACAAGCGATAGACGAAGAGGTCTATCATCGGGTCCAGCTTTTATACAGATCAGAACATACAATTAGACAACACGTGTATATAAAGGAAACTTCGACCTGATGATACGACTTCTATCTCTGTTCAAACTGTTATTTTTATAAGACAAATATAAAACATATAGAACTGATAACAGAGCCGCCAATTTCGCTATGTTCTCACCTGCACTGGAGTCGGCCATGGGTGTATCGATACTTTATACAAGACACGTACCATTGCTGTGCGTCTCTCGCTAATAAATCATATAGGATATTTATTACGATCACAATACGCATGACATTCTATGCAAAGAAAGTTTTTGTCGAGAATGAAGTAGAGAGAACTTGTACTATGGTAAGACACGAATCGATGGCGCGTAATGACAAGAAGGATAATTCTAGCTGCATAATCCTGAAGGATCAACCAGACCGCGGGCGATCAGCTCAGCAGTTGCCGGATCCCCGGCCTGTTTGCCGCCCGAATGCTGTGACGATGTTTGCTGAGCGTGGGGCTCGAAATGGGAGCGTACGTGGAACATGAATTCAGCCTTGTCCGTGAAATCTGTACGGCACATGAGACAGAAATGCCTCTCGGAGGCGTACGGCTGTGGAGGAGCTGCCGAACCCGGGAAATACGGCGCTGCGTGCTGCGGCGGTGCCGATGCTTCCAAATGAGAACTGTAACAAAAAATTATTCATTCATGAGAATCGGAAATTGTACTAACGACTGTAATTAACATTGAAAATAATTTATATCAGTATTATACTTAAAATGCAATTAAACGATAATTACCGAGCGTGCTGCATCCACTCATCCCTCGTCGCTAACGCTCGGCCGCACAATTCGCAGGCCCAACTAACTGGTTCCTCTTTCAACTTGAGTATAGTGTTGTCTTGACGAGATTGCTGTTGCTGCGGTTGTTGCGGTTGCTGTTGCTGCTGCGCCTGCTGCTGCTGCTGCTGCTGTTGTTGCTGTTGTTGTTGTTGATGATCCGAATTCGGAGCAGATGGTGTAGAGAGAGGCGCCACACCCGGTCTGTGTCTCAACTTGTTCATGTGAATAACTAGCTTATCTCTACGAGCGAACGCTTTGCCTGTAGAGACGAGAAACACGGTTGCGTTGATTAAACTGAAAGGAGCGAGCATCAATCGCAAAGTAGTTACGGCGCGCTTACCGCAAACCTCGCAGGAGTACGGCTTCTCCCCGGTGTGGATGCGCATGTGAATGACCAGCTTGTCTTTACGGGCGAGACCCTTGCCGCAAACGGTGCACGCGAACGCCTTCGTTGCGGGTTCGCCAGTGTTTGTAGCCTTTGACGCGAATCCCGGACGAGAAGTAACATTGTTCGTCGTTCGTAACGGTTGATTCACAGTCGGAGCTCTGCTTCCGAACTGCTGATCCATTGTGCCAGGGAACGGCGGCATCACGCCGCCTGGGCGCATCGCTGCCGTATAATCCGGAGACCTATTGCAATTACACGGTCCAGTCCGTAATACCATTTCACATTTCTCATATATTATCGTAATGGAATATAAACTAATTATGGTAAGGATTAAATCGCCATTTAACAGTTAGTCATTGACAAGTTTAAGATGTTCGATCAGCTTACCATGTACCGATCGAACGAAGCACCCGTACTCCATCGTCATAGCCTAAACCATCGTCGGGTAACGTGAACGTCGAATTGGGTGTCTGAGAAGTTGCAGGTGGACCAGGTCCAGCCAGTCTCGCTTGTGCAGCTTGTTGTGCCATATGTTGCTGAACAGCAGCATGAGCGACGGCATGCGCTTCCACATAAGCCGATCGTTGCTGTTGCTGCTGGCTACCATTAGACATCTTGTCCTTGTCCGAAACCTGTTAATCATTTAGTAACTTGTACTTAATATTACATCGATGTACACATCTCCAGACGATGTATACGTTAACACTAAAAACGAATAGTTGGTCCAAATGATAAGATTGTTTTTTAGTAGAACGAACTAATGAGAAAACTTCGCACTTGCTGTCAGAAAAATGATGCAAGTGATGCTATGGAGTTTCAAACTTTTAATTTCATTATCGTTATCGCAATTTATCAATGTAATTGAGCAATACCCAGCTCACGCATTCGGCAGTATCTCGACTTTACCAAAATAATCATTAGTACGAGTAAATCATCTCATTATGTATAATAAAAAAATCACTAATTGCGAGATTAGAGAAACGCATAATTAGCGAGATTGCAATTCATCGTTACAACCGAATAAATTGTGCAATCAGAAGAACTCAAGGAGAAATATTAAAGTTAATACCTGCTTTATTCTATGGTAATAAAATCACGTTTACGAGCACTCGAAAGTGATCAATCAATTCGTTTACTATATGCAATTGCAAGGGAAGATTCTATAGGAACAAACGACGTTTGGCAACGTTTCTAACAATTCGGAGGAGTACAAAAGCGTAGCAGCTTCGGAGCTGCCGATATGGGAAAACAATTAATCACGGGAACAGAACTGGTGCGGAGGTTGAACGGAATACGAACGCGCACTCGGTGCCAAATATCTATTAACGATAATCGATATTTAGCAGAAACGTAGTTTCGAACAATTCTTCGGCCAAATGAAACTTATTCGATTTTCTACGAACTCAACATAAAATGTAATTGACGCGGTCGTCCAAAACGATCAGCGAAATGCTTTCTATATCTGTTTACAAAATATTCTGCGAGTAAAAAAGAAAAGAGGTCTCAACATCACCTTTCACCTCATCGATCCACAGATTTATTCGACAGATTTTGTAATATAAAAAGTAAAATACTGTATTCTGCACGATCAACGTAAACGAATTCTATTATACCTCAGTTGTTAAATTTTATTGGGAAAAATAAAAACGCGCCCTTCTAAACTTACGAATAGTGGAACGATTCCGAATTCCAAATTTCGTACACGTGACGTCGGTTCGCAACGGTCAAAGACGAGCCCTTGCGGACCGTAATCTCCGAGGAGCATCACAGAAGCCTGTATCCCCGGGAGACGACATCGAACGCATAAAAGACAGGGACTTTCGAAGGAACCGAAAAGATCTCTGCGCTTAGCCTGCTCCGTCAAGGTCCATGGGGGAAAGAACGATGACCGAAACGAGAAAGAGAGACGAGAAAACGGGAGTGAGGGTAGGTGAAAGAAAGAAACCGGGTATGGGTACAACGAGAAAGAGAGGCGGAGGTTCGCTTACGGGCACGCAAACCTTCCTACAAAAGATGGACAAACGTTTATCGGCGTATCTCCAGGCTCTGTCTCACGTACCTGTACACTATACGCACTTCGTCACCCTTGGCGGTGGAAAACTGCACGCGTACGGTCTCGCACGCTAGCTCGTATGTCCTCGAGGACCGATATCATCGACAGCGTCAGAAGGCGAGCGACTCAACGACACATCACACACCATGTATAATAGTATCTCGTATAGTGACACGCATGCACCGGTCTCTGAGAGTTTCCGAACTGGGTGAAAAAAATCGAGCACCCACGAGACTCGTTCAGAAGCCGGATACGGTCGGATCACGGCGGACTCGTGTAAGCGAGCTTTGAGACGCGACGACGGGTCCACGCGCGTTGCTCCTTTTCGCGACGCCACGAAAGAATCTCGCGTTTTACGGGGCAACCGGAGTGTGTCCCGCGGAGCTAGCCGCCGATTCCCGGCGCGGGAGGATGCAAGGACAAAGAGACGAAAAAACGTCTGGTCGAGACAGAGGGGGTAGCGCTCCGGCGAGCAAGACAGAGAGAGGGAGATTGGGACGAAGGGAAGGAGAGCGTAAGAAGGAGAGAGAGCACGCCGGCGGAGAGGGAAGGAGCTATAATCGGTCGGGAACGAGGGAAACGGAGACCGGCGAAGGAAAGACAGAGAAGCGGGACGGGGAAAAGGACAAACGAGATAGCCGTCGACTGGTGACACACGGATGCTGCTCGGCGTAACGATATCGAGTGGAGGTCTCCGCGGAATGTACCGTGGCGACGTGCCGGGGAGAAGAGGGACCACACAGGGTGCACCGATCGGACGAGGATGGAATCGGATCGAGAATGAAACGGGGGAATCGAGTAGACGTGAGTATTTGAATGTCGCCGGTATAGATGTATGCGAATCTGAGTTTAAACGATTCTATTCGATTGCCCCGAGGATGAACGGAGGAATCGATTGATGCGCTGGAATCGGATGGAGAATGAAGCAGGACGACACTCGCGTGCAACGAGACGAGATTGTACTCGAGTCTGGGATATAAACGGTTGTAGGTATTCGATCGGAGGATGCACTAAGCGCGAGCCGGTGAGCAGGCAAAATTGGCGCGACTAGGTGCGGGAACGGGCACCGAGCGATACTGAACCGGTAGAAGGGAAAGAAGAATAGGCACGGGAGAAGCGATACGCGGACGAGACGGCGCGGTGCAACGATATCGAGTGGAGATCCCCGCGGAATGCATCGTGCGGTCGCCGCGACGACGAGAGGGAGGGAAAGAGGGGAAATTGGAAGAGCGAGAAAGAAAGGAATAGAAGAGAAAAAGAGATAGGTACACAGGGCACAGGGACGCCCTAGAGAGGTAAGTATGCGCGCGAAGAGACCTTCGTGTTATACCTTGTGTCGTATACGCAGACTACCGAGTGACTCGCCTGCCAGATACACACAATGACGGAAGAGAACAGCGTACAGCAGTCGACGACGGCGTCGGCGGCGGCGGACGCTCTGCAGTGCGTCGGCCCGCTGACCTTGACACTGACATTGACTGAACAAGCAAGCGAGAAAGAGAGGGAGATACACGAACGGACGAAGAGATAGTCACGTCGGACGGTGGAGCGCGATTAGGCGAAACTAAGCGCGACATCGAATCCCGAGTACCGTTTTCCCTTTGTCTTGGCTCTTCTCTCTTCTTCGCTCCCCTAGATCTTCTTAGTTGACCGCATCAATGATCGACCGGGTAACGAGGCTTCGTCGACCGTTTACGACTAGGGGTATTCCGGACCGCGAAACAGGTTTTCAGAGGTGCAGGCCTGCTCCTCGTTGCACCTGTGCCCGGGACAAGGAGACCCGACGGGCCAACCACCGTAGCGAGGAGAGGAGACCGAATGATCTTGGATTGGGGAGCGACGAGACGCGTGGAGAGAAAGAGACAGGCGCTGGCATGTGAAAGAGAGACGGAAAAGGGTAGAAAAGATGAAGGCGAAGAGGCGAGAAGAGAAAACGGAGTCGGGCAAACGAGGAACGGAGACGGAGAGAGATAGGCGAGACGTCGAAGAAAAGGAGAACTGACTTTCGCTTTCTGTGCGCGACGCAGCCTAGCGTCGATCAATAGTGCCGCGACAGTTGCACAGACACATACACGTTCGTGCGTGACGCGTATACGGAACCCTCTATCCTGGCTATTCGCGTGATCCGTCTCTTTTGCCCTATCTGTTCATCCGTGTCTGCTTATCTGTATATTATCCCCACCAACGTTTTACCCCGCGCGAGTCGCGTTTGCGAGGGTGGAATTATTGGGATCATGCTTCGTTGCTCGAGCGAGGGGCGCGCAGGAGGAGTGGAGAGAATCAAGGACCTCGACGCTACCGATCACCGGCACCCCTTCGCTTTCTTTCATTCCTTTAAAGCCGGTTGCACGATTTCGCATCGTAGGTCTCCCATTTCCTTCCGATATTTAAGCATTTCAAACGAGCATCAAATGAACGCTAATTTGTTTCAAAGTTCGGTACATGATTTGCCACGTGAAATTAATTGCTTCATGTTTGATGATTCGACTCAAGTTCGGTGAAATTCCTTTTTAAATGAATGCTCAAAGCGTATAAGTCGACGCTTATTCGTATGCCGAAGCTTCACACGCCCTTTTTCCGTGCCCAGCTTCGGCACGTTTATCGAGCAACATAAACGAGATTGGAATGGAAGAAGGTAGGACAGAGAGGCACGGAGAGGTGGTAGAGAACGACGCGAGCGCGTGTTGCGTAAAGGGCTTTTTACGCGACTCGAAATGTGGAACTCGTGTCGGCCGGCCGCCCAACGCATAAAGTCACTTTAATGCGTCGTGTCAGAAATTGCCGCGCGAGTTTACGAGCTTGTAAAGAGTCACTGTACTTCCTAGAGCACATACCGAGGACAATCTGGTTCTCCTCCTGTCTATTCGTGTCCGGCTTGTGCGACGATAAATTTTCCTACCGCTTACGAGAAAAAAAATCCGCCTCTTTTTCTCCCTTTCTACCTACCTCGTTACGTGCAGTCGAGAGACACACGGTGTACGGTTTATGTCAGAACTTTAATCTACCTTTATTAAGGGTGCTGTCTCTTTCATTTGCGAGACACTTGCTCCCAGTCGTAAACCACGTGCTCACCGGGGAACATTTAAACACGTCTGATGTCTCGTGAAATCAATTAGGTACAAATAAAACGGTGTATCGTAAACAAGTAATTCTACTAGTCGCTCGTTTGTCGCCTACAGCTTAAATATAGCTGTTGATTTTTGTGTTTTGAACTACGAGCAATTGTTCCATTCAAGTAATGAAAGTTATGTAGATGTCATAATTCGATCATAAAACTATCAATGAAGATTACGATATAACTTTTACGAAACATTCTCGTATTTATAAACGATACTCAGGGGGCTCAAGAAAATGTTTGCAGACTTTCGTTTCGCGTATTTTTCAATGTAGTATTTCGACTTACCTGATTCACAGAAGCGGCAAGGTGTTTCAGGCTATCCGCGTAATTCTTTAGCACCGTGTCCGTCGTCATGCAGCTAACACGAAACTCGTAAAACATATCTAGCTTGTACACGCACCGCTGGCAAATATTTTTCGGCAATGCATCTTCTTTCGTTATCTACAGCAAATTAAATGTTCGCACGTATCAACAAATATAGAATTTTTTTAATGAAAACGACATTAAAAACTCTATTATAATCATTATACTCGATCATTTCTTTCTGTGTTTTAACTATCGATAATTTTTGCGATTCCTAAAAACGAGACAATTATGACAGACAATTTATAAAACGTGACTTCACTGATCGTTCTACGATAACCAATGACAAATCCTATCCTTTTATAATACTTTCTGTTTTGTATTTTAATCAGAATCGAATACTTTATTCAAAATAATGTAAAATGTACCGAAGCATCGTGTCATTATTATTTATTTCTAATGAATGTAACATCCTCGTTTCTCATCATACTTATGAATGTATCAAATGAACGCATAATAATTCTATTTAATCAGAAGTAATTGCGAATTATATTCTACGAAAATGATTAAAACACGAGGAAAGTGACTTACCACAGCAGGAATGCAGGAACGTATTTTAAACAGCAACTGTCTCTGTTCGCCTTCCTTGTCGAATATCTGCAACTGATGATTACTTTTCAACGAGCACAGTCGACACATTTCGGCGAAACTGAAGTCCTCGTTCATTGCCATTCTCTTTGAATCAGGATTAAACACAATTGCTTCTTGTCGGGTTGTTAGGTTATGCCAGTTTTTATAATTGTTTCGTTTACCCGGGTACCGATCCGACAAAAATGATCACGTCGCACGAAATTAAGATCCACGACCGTACGGTTAAACAAAACCGGTTGAAAGTATGACAAACGTTAAAAAAAAGGAGAAACATCTAACAAAATTAAAGTAACGCTGCCATGTCTTTCTTTCCGTCCTGTTGAGCGTGCAGGATACTTGACTCCCACATTGTTCGACTTCGGTCCATCTACTGGGTGGAGTAAGTACCAACGAAGGGCTGTACACAGCTTTACATTATGATACAACAGAACGACGTATGAAAAATACAAGAATTTATTATGTAAATTATTTTTATGCGTCTCAATCTAATAATAAAACAATAGAAAAAAAATAAACGATACGATAAGTACATATTTTTAAGAAAAATAAAATTTTACAAGGACGTATTCAAATTGAAATCTGTTTCGCATTCCTTCAACATTTTTTATTAATATAATTTTCCTACAAATACGTTAAATCTAGCAGTTTTGTCATCAAATTGTATTAACAGTGAATATTATTGATTTAAATGTACATATTATGTATGTATGATGCATGAATTGCGATCTTGATACTCTGTTGCATACCTGATTTAATTGTATGCGTGACATAAACTGGCGAATATATTATTTAGTAAACGATGTCTATTTATTATTAACGGAAATTATTTAGCTTGCACAACTGTCGAGTGTCAGTTTAAGCTAGAGATTTAAAGCTCTACTGCGTTCTGTGAAATAGAATTTATATTGAATAGAAGTAAAAATATTTGATCTGAATATTAAAATTGATAATCGCACAGAATCATTTTTAAATAATGTATTCTTACCAGATCTGTGGTGTTCTGTGGATAATCGTGGGTTCAATCCTTATTATAACTAACATATTATATAAAATATCGTACGAAATGGGATTAAAAGTAAGTTGTGACATAATTTTAATTAAAAATACATTATTATTTGTAATCTCTGATTGATTAAATAGCGCTTCAAATTTACAAACCTATCTTGAATCGTGACTTAATAATTTCCAGTCTATATCACTCGTTGAAGGCACACACGTTTATAAGATATGGGCATCACCTATAACTTTATCGTTCGCATGTTATTTTTTTAATGTTACAAATCCGGACGAAGTTATGCAAGGAGAGCATCCTAGATTAGTCGAATATGGCCCACTGACTTACGAGTAATCCACATCTCTTAAGGATTTTTTATAATAAAAATTATTATTAAATTAATATTAATATATTTCACTACTTATTAATGTATTATTATATTCTTAGCGAAATATATGAGAAACAGGTGATTGATGTCGATGAAGAGATGGACGAAATCAAATACACCACAAAGTCGACTTACACATTTAACAAGGCTAAGAGCATCGACATATCTAATCGTGAAAAAGTTACAATATTAAATCCGGCATACATTGGCACAATATCTATGGCAAGTACACTTGCCACGTGTGAAAATACATTACAATGAATTAATGGCATTAATAATTCCAATTGATCGTTTCTGTGTAGTTATCATCTTTGCCTCCTAATTATATGGAAAAGTACGGTGATCATATACCGAAATTATTCCCGGATCGAAATAGCATTTTTCTGAAAGCTCGCCCTACCGATATACTTTTCGGCGGAGTTAAAATTTCGTGCAATCTGAAGAAATTCCCTGAGCTGGACCTAGTCTGCAAAACGATGAACGCTAGTCCTCCAATTGTTTTGAGAAAAACCGAAAAGGAAGACACTTACCTCCTCAGTCTCTTCCAGAGGGTAAGCTTCAGTTTAGGATACGTTAAAATGCACATATTTTCCAGATATATTAATTAAAAAGAATTTCTTGAATGAAACTTTGAATGTTTTATGTTTTCTACTGTTTGGTAGTCAAATAATACTCTTCGTGGACCGTTTACTATCAACAGAGGTTTCAAAGTTATAACTAGTTTAGGCAATATAACGTCTTATCAAGGAGAGAAAATACAATCAATATGGAATTCTGATGTTTGCAACACAGTGCGGGGGACTGATTCTGTTAATTGGGCACCATTAATAGAACCATTACCTTTCGTCGTATCGTTTGTTCCAGAGATGTGCAGGTTTAATGCACTAACTTAAATACAATAATTAATTGAATATTATCGATCGATATTCTCAGAGCAATGGAAGCAGATTATTCGGAAGACGTCTCGATCCTCCGCATGACTGGGTCACGATTTGTCATCAAAGAGAGAGTATGGTTTTTGAACGCGTCAGAATGCTACTGTTTATTAAAAGACAAAAATCCTCGATGTTTGCCGCAAGGTTTAATCGATGTCACGGAGTGTCAGGTAATACTTCAACAAGCCAGGAGTGATCTTTGTCGACTGCGAGATTGATGTGTTGCAGAAAGTACCTGCAATCTTATCAGAGCCGCACTTTTTACACGGTGACCCGGAGTTATTGATGTACGCCCACGGTTTGCAACCAGACGAAAATCTTCATGCGACGTATATTACTATCGAGCCACTTACCGGAACCCCACTCTTTGGGACAAAGAAAAGTCAAGTGAATCTGGAACTGACCAAGCAACCAGTGAAATTACTGTCGAACGTCAGCGAAGGATTTTTCCCTATTGTTTGGTGTGAAAATGTAAGATTTTTACAGATCAGTACAAAGTTTCTATTTTCTCAGTATTGAATGTCGAATTAAAAAAATTCTCATATCGTATGATACGATTTAGTACATAAAATTAACTTTTATTATTAATCAAGGAACTATGATTAAAAAAAATTACAACAGTCGTGTGTTTAGTTCTTAACATCTTTATTTCTTCTTCTATGTTTAAGAAGAATCGGTTATTTTGTTGTAAAACAACACCGTCCTTTTTTAGAACCATAAGATAGTTCATTACATAAAAATATAGATCGTATAAAAAAATGTGCTAAAGTAATCGCATCCTCTTTTGAAACAATAAACAATTATTTTACAGGGAAATGCGGCGACGTTATCAATCATAGCGTTCACGTATCAATTTTTTCGTTTGATGAACCTCGTTCAATTTCTAGAAAAGATTCCTCTCATAGTTGGAATTTATATTATTATCATGACGTCGCTGTACTGCAACTGTACAAGACGCAAAGTGAAGCCGACTGTTACAATCGCGGAGTCGGTACTGATATCGTCGAATTCGGGATCGAACGACCCCGCGCAGGAATTCCCGCAACGAGGTACACGAGCGTTCGAGTGATTTCAACGCGTGCACGACACATACTTACATCCAGCGCTTTAAGAATCGCAACGGACAAATTACGTTTTATTTAAAAATACATACGATTTCAATATTAAATATGTACAATATGAACAATGTTATACATTATTTCAATATAGAAATTGAAACTTGCTCTTTGTACAAAATCATACAAAACATTCTATTTATTTTATACAGAGAAATAAATAATCAAACTTCTTTTAGTAAAAAACATTATTTCTCGTGTATTTACAATAAATAAAATTTATGTACTCGTCTACGTAAAATTAAGTACTTCATTAATAATAATTACAGTAATTATAATATTGCGCGATTTTACAAAACGCTTATCTATGAAAATGAAGATGAATGTACAATGTACAGGACTACTCTTAAAAATAAATATACTCTATCACGATTGTGTGAGTTACGTTAAACGTTCAACTAAGATTAACTGGTATTTGTTGAAAATTGCTGTACAAATGTCGATAAGTGCTTTAAAAACATTCAACTAGTCGACATGAACATTAAGTCCTTTTTACAATTTACGTATCTATACAGAGCTTAAATTATGTTTGTTTGTTTCCTATTGATACATATTAATAATATCTACGATAGAGATCCATGCGCCGAATATCAACGCCAAGAAAGAGAATATCACGAGAGTACCGTTTTTCCATAGCCTCCAATAATGCGTACCCAAATGACCATCCCAGCACGAAATCGTTTCCACGACAGCTGGAATCGTTACACCGAGGATGGAGAAGAACACTGAACCGACGAGGGAAATAAACGGCTCCAGATCCGGAACTAACAGCGCCACGAAGACTGTAACAAAGAAAGGAAGTTGTTGTTTTAAAGAAACGTTCACGGTTCCGTTTGATTTCAAAACGACTGTTTAATCATAGGCTGATGTATTCAAAGCACGGAGTTCAACTTTATAAAGTAAGCTTAAATAAATAATATGTCAGACAGTAAATTGGCATTAATTTCCCATTACGATTCGAGGCAGATAAAAATGTATCTACACGAAGTACCTTCAGTAAAGAAGCGTACGTAATGGGAAAACTCGTTTCTTGGTCATCGGATTGTTTAGTTGTCGTCGCGTGTCAAGGCAAGTGGAATTTCCACTGTAAATTAAATGGAGACACAAGGGTATCGCGGCGTGGAATCAAAACTGCGGCATCGTAAATAACAAGGACGTACATATCAACTCGGTAGATTCTCAATGAATTAAATGAGCACGAGTCATTGAACGATGAGCAACAGCAGGTAGTGAGTCACGCGGTAACGGAGCCAACGGGTGCTTCTCTATCTATCTTCCTATCGTAGTTCGCGTTTCTCTTTTTCTCGTTCAAGAAAGTAACACACGTGCCTGGTAATTCCGGTACAAACGCTCGGCGAATCTCAGCCAGTGATGCAGACCGGTAATAACCGGAAGACTAATCACGAAGCGTTATCTTGAGAATATCGTAAAGTTAATCCTATTACTACGGGATCACCGATAAAAGAGATTTGTTACGAAAACATTGAATTTGAACCAAAAATCTGAGATTAAATCTAATCATTGTAAACTAACATCGTAGGATTATATCAATAAATTGTTACATGTTGTAATTTTAAGTTATAAGAAGAATTGATTGTTTCAAATTATCAATCATCGGCTATGGATTTATAATTAAAGATTCTTACCTGTGAACAAAACCATTACCACCCTCATCATCGTGTGGCAGACGCCTTGGTACTTGTGGCTGCACTTTTCTTTCAGGGATTTCCACATAATTTCCAACGGTACGTAATACTGCAGTCCGTAGGTGAACAAAACGGCTAAAGCGATGAGCATTTTCACCACCTGACCCAAACTATAAAAACAATGTATTTAGTTAACATATACTATTGGTTTCTTATCCTTAATGTAGATCCGGAAATACGTACACATCTGACGTCGGTATGTTGAGCGTGATACTCCCCATGACTGCCTCTCCGTATTTAAGATAACCGAACACGCCTAGTAGTGCGTATAGCGATACTACTATGCTCATTGTTATGTTAAGAACACCTGGACATCCCAAAAAATGCTGCGGGTTCTGCATATTATTCTCCACAGGCATTACCTGTCAGAATAATTTTTCTATTTTATTACAGCCTTATTTGTTAACTTAATTGTTTCTCAAAATTATGCGAAATAGAAAGTTTCATTAGAAGTAAGAGTATCATACTTACAACGCCGATGCCCTCGATGGCGAACAGTACGGTGGCGAAGAACGTGGGCAACTGTCCGGCCGATGCGATCAACTTCGTATCCGATGGAATTTCGATTCCATTGAAGATGTAATAAAGTGTTATCGCGAAGCCGACCATCATGCTGACGTTCGCCATCATGGAGAACGGCACCATGAACTTCAAATTTCGCACTTGCCCCAGCAGCAACAGCGCTGGAATTAGTGTGAGTATGTACATGCGAGTCGATATATCCGTACCAGTGTGATAATCGACTACCTGGAATTCAAAACAAATCAATTCTGTAAGAGAAGCATAGAACATGGTTATTATAAATTATCTAATAACATAGTATGTACATTTATAGTGAGAAACGTGAGGAACTTAATCAAATTACAGATTAAAATAAACTTTGAAATATAATCTACTTGCCATACTACTAATAGCAAATTAATCACAGATTCGCTAAAAAAGGCACTTTCATCGAGGCGATTAGCAGATAGAATTAATGACTGAAACTATTCAACTAATGGACTCTATATCGTTTTGCGCGCGCGCCGCAGCGAATATCTTATTAACCTTTTGAGACTAAGTGCCGAAATGAGTGATGATATTGGTTCAATTGATTAAATTGATTGGCGTCTTATTCGTGGCTAAATATTTGCACAGACATGACCACGCTCATCCGAAACATTTCCACACATTAGCGCAAATCAACGATCGTCACTTCTGATCATCGAATCGACATTATCAGTTTGATAACTCCTATAGTGATCTGATGATATTTCGACACCAATATGCAATTAAAAACAGTTCGCAGTAATAAATAAAACGTCATCCTGTTGAAATCATAAATAAACTGCGCATTTTTATGGAGTGTAAATATGTGTTGAGATCAAACGCAATTACAAATGTAAACGCTTTTTCTTTTTTAAGAGCATAAGTGTAATAAAATCTTCTAAATGATGCAGAATGGCCTGTTATAAAATTTAGCGTAAGCTTACCTGTTTGATGGATGTCGATACGAAGACCACGTAGACGCAGGCACCGCCCACGTAGGTAGCGCATAACGCGGCATTCACAAATATCCTACTAGCGTTCGCGAAAGGCCTCAACCATTTCGGTCCGGAAAGGAACGCAGCCTCCGCGGTCTCGGCGTACGTCATCTTCGGCGTTTTCGTCTTCTTGCACAGCACGTGGGACGAACGGACCAGTATGTGCACGCAGTGCGCGCATATCATACCAATTATTATCGTTCCGACCCCGCCGAACAAGACGCCGCCGTTTTTGATCGCGTTCGGCATCGCGAGAATCCCGGTACCGAGCGACGATTTCAGCAAATGGGCAAGGGAACCCAAGTCGCTGTTCAAAAAACAATTTATACTGTATTCGTATATTCGGCATTTTTTTTGTTCGAATATTTATTGGCATGCTAAGTCACTTGTTGACATTTCCTTTGTGGAATAAAAAAGATGGATGTTTGAGGAACGAGAATTTAAAATGAACCTTATTAATTCGCATATTTATGCTAATGAAAAGAAAGGATTACTCACGAGTTAGTATTTTTCTTCTCGCGCTGCTCGAAGGGATTGTATAATTCGTCCTTCTCATTGTATTCTCCCATAGCTATTTTTGTGCTGATGACAAAGGATTTCGTCATGATTCATTCGAACTGCATGTTATTATATCATTTAATTGGTTTTCGTTATCGCTCGGAACGAAGCTGGATCGACATTTTACGGAAATGTGAAAATATCAACACAGCAAGAATTTATGCATTTATTTGTAAACAATTTTGAAATCTATATTCGAGATGATGAAATGAGATAGATCATTTAATGAAGAAATTGCGATGTTCATTATTATCATACCTATTATCAGCTGCTGTTAACAATGATTGATAAAGTAATGATTACTTCGGAAATTTTTATCTAATTAAAGAATGGGTGGATTACGTTTGCAAATTAATTTTTACGTCAGCAACGGGTATCAGCGTTAACGATTCTACTAATTAAATGATAATATAATCACTCCCAAGAATAATTAAAATTTAAAAAATTTACACGAATACAAATGAGATAGTAATACCTGCTGTTGAATTCCTGCATGGGATTGCCCATAGCTTCTTCTTGCTTCGGCTTCTTCTCCATAGTGAATCTGAAACAAAATATGATATCTTAAGAATTTTTATAATTTAATCACACGTAGTGCAATGTATAATATACTGTTGGATGAATGCTTCTGAGGAAGCTTATGTTATGGAGCAAAAATGTATCGATGATGAACATAGAGAGGATGTTTAGAGTAATGGATAATAAATAATAAAAACGAGGAATAATAGGGCTATAGTGTGTATGTATGTGTGCGAGTGCATGCCTGCATGGTGCATCCTTTAGTCTCTGTGCGACAGCCAAAGTGGTTCATTTAACTGTATATCCCATATTCCAATATATACTAAATGTATTAAATATAACAACTTGAAGAAAACACGTTTCATTTCTAGTTTGGTTCACAATGAATATTCCCATTTAAATTGTGCAATATGTATATCAAACATTCAATCAGATATGATATTGTACAATACATGAGGAACAATGATAATAATTTCCTCTAATTACTTTACATGTCTAAAAAAAACTTATCAAGTCTCCAAGAAAAAAATTTATAAAATGATAATCACCAATACGAATTACCTATTAAATTAATCTCGCAACGCACAATTTCGATGTAACAAAATTATTGCGACATCTGTCCACTTCACGCGTTTAATATCGGGGAATCGGCGAAACGCGTCTTTATCCTATCGTCGCCGATTCCCCATTGCAAAAATCATCGCCCCGGCTTACACTAGCGATTATTACCCGCGACAAGAATCTCGACGATAAGAATGATGTTTGGAAACAAAAAGATTATTAACGTAGACCAACGCGTCGCAGGTATCAATCATAAGCCTATGTAATCGATGAATATCTTTCATCGATGGGAATTTTCCATTAGGATCTTTAATAACTATTTATATCTTATCACGGATGTTATCATGATCTCTGCGCGTAATTGTTGCATGATAGACAAAGTATGAGGATAAAACAAGAGAAATAAATAGAAAGAATTTTCAATCGAAGCTATACGAGAAAACCAAATAACGATAATACGTAATGAAGAGTACGTAAATCTATCTTTTAAATGAAAACATGTAATAGAAAATGTCAATCACATTAAATGGCATATATAATGGCTTCTGCTTCTGCATTACTTAGTTTAGTATTTTAAGGAAAGAATTTGCAAAGTTACGTAATGAATTGCAGAATTTCACATTTACTGTGCGGGTACATATATTGGCTATTAACATTAACTGTAACTCGGTCTTTACGAAACTAGCACCTGTATCATTAACATCCGCAATTAACGACCCCACGCGAACTGCGACTGCATTTCTCGAGTCAACTTCTGTCATTGCGTCAAAATATTTGACTTAGGGTATTCATTGTATCTACTACGTAATACGTAATTTCGGTCACTATTATCCCGTTAAACAAAGGAAAGATGCATTATTTCATTAGTTCGAAGTGAATAACAAAGTGTAAAAGACGAACTGCGAGAACGTTACATAAAACTCAGCTTCGATTCAACCATTCGACATAAATGCAGTTTACGTGCCTTATTCACTTTACTTTGAATACTCCGAAACACGTGTTTCCCTTTTTTTCACTGATAGACCTTTTAGCGGATGCATTGTTAACAGATCAAGATATTGATATAATTATTCATTGTCTACAATGATTGATGTTGTTCAACGAGATATGCAATTTGACACGTGGATTTCTTTGGTCTTAAATATACAGTGTTTAAAATCGTTGCCGCGACCACGGAGCAGTACGAATTTTGCAATAGTCTTTTCCTTGCTATTCTTCTATAATGGCTCGTTAATTCCACGAAAGATCGTCCGACCGACAAGACTCGTTGAGCAACCGATCACGCACATACATATACATATAATTACTGTAACCGCGGTTAAGACACATCCTTATACGCTTTTATCCTACCTGAGCCCCGTGAGGACTTTCTAATGCAAAGAACGGAGAAAGGGTTTGTGATGCGGCGTAGATCTAATAAACATTCCAGTGCTATAATAGCAAGCGGCAGAAAGGAGTCACGAGCAAAAAAGAGACACTGTTGGACTTCGACTGATATGATATATGCATGTACGCAAGTACGCCTATAAATTTTTAGTCGCGTGTACACGGGCACATCGTTTTCCTTAAATGCAGCAGTTGTTTCTATAGAATATCATGTATTTAATTCATCATTATATATCGTTTCATTAATTCAAACAATGATCGATGGGAATTTTCCATTAGGATCTTTAATAACTATTTATATCTTATCACGGATGTTATCATGATCTCTGCGCGTAATTGTTGCATGATAGACAAAGTATGAGGATAAAACAAGAGAAATAAATAGAAAGAATTTTCAATCGAAGCTATACGAGAAAACCAAATAACGATAATACGTAATGAAGAGTACGTAAATCTATCTTTTAAATGAAAACATGTAATAGAAAATGTCAATCACATTAAATGGCATATATAATGGCTTCTGCTTCTGCATTACTTAGTTTAGTATTTTAAGGAAAGAATTTGCAAAGTTACGTAATGAATTGCAGAATTTCACATTTACTGTGCGGGTACATATATTGGCTATTAACATTAACTGTAACTCGGTCTTTACGAAACTAGCACCTGTATCATTAACATCCGCAATTAACGACCCCACGCGAACTGCGACTGCATTTCTCGAGTCAACTTCTGTCATTGCGTCAAAATATTTGACTTAGGGTATTCATTGTATCTACTACGTAATACGTAATTTCGGTCACTATTATCCCGTTAAACAAAGGAAAGATGCATTATTTCATTAGTTCGAAGTGAATAACAAAGTGTAAAAGACGAACTGCGAGAACGTTACATAAAACTCAGCTTCGATTCAACCATTCGACATAAATGCAGTTTACGTGCCTTATTCACTTTACTTTGAATACTCCGAAACACGTGTTTCCCTTTTTTTCACTGATAGACCTTTTAGCGGATGCATTGTTAACAGATCAAGATATTGATATAATTATTCATTGTCTACAATGATTGATGTTGTTCAACGAGATATGCAATTTGACACGTGGATTTCTTTGGTCTTAAATATACAGTGTTTAAAATCGTTGCCGCGACCACGGAGCAGTACGAATTTTGCAATAGTCTTTTCCTTGCTATTCTTCTATAATGGCTCGTTAATTCCACGAAAGATCGTCCGACCGACAAGACTCGTTGAGCAACCGATCACGCACATACATATACATATAATTACTGTAACCGCGGTTAAGACACATCCTTATACGCTTTTATCCTACCTGAGCCCCGTGAGGACTTTCTAATGCAAAGAACGGAGAAAGGGTTTGTGATGCGGCGTAGATCTAATAAACATTCCAGTGCTATAATAGCAAGCGGCAGAAAGGAGTCACGAGCAAAAAAGAGACACTGTTGGACTTCGACTGATATGATATATGCATGTACGCAAGTACGCCTATAAATTTTTAGTCGCGTGTACACGGGCACATCGTTTTCCTTAAATGCAGCAGTTGTTTCTATAGAATATCATGTATTTAATTCATCATTATATATCGTTTCATTAATTCAAACAATGCATGAGTCACTTTTAAATGATTAAAGAGTTACTCCAAAATTGTGAGGCCTTAAAATCTGCTAATCATTCGAATGCTTCAGTACCACTGATTGAAATCCAGGTCTTGTAAATGCCAATATCTTATAATCAGGATTATACTTGCACGAATTGTTGTGTTGCAAACTCAGCCCAGCATGATTTAGAAAAGGTCAGATAGAAATTTATTCCCTTTTGTTACACAATGCTCCATTCTTGCAAGAATTGCCTCATCGTTTTATATTCTCATTTTCAATGTATTTATTTCGTGTTCAATACTTCGACGTTCTTACAATTTAATTAATAATTAAATATTAATTGGATAAAGAAACCATTCAGGATGTAAAGTTCGTAACATTCTATTGAACCAATTGATTAGGATACAATGTAGCCTACGTAATACTATGTATCTACTTAGGGGCAATTGTACACTAATAGTTATTTCGTAACTACGAGAATGCGGGGCGTGAACGCTCGGATCAAACCTATAATGAGAGAGGAACTCGATGAACTTCGCATCGGAAAGAGACTTTATACAAATGATGCACGAGTGAAATAAACGTGGCAACAAATTACACGTTTGAGACCGCTCCTTAGCGCGTGCGGATGCGTGTGGCGCGTAATTACCTTCAAACACCGTCTTTCAGCTACAAGGCTGCGTTTTAACGTTTACCGCGACACCGACGTAACGTTTTCGCGTACAAGACAATTTTCCGGTATGTGCACACGAGTTATGCATCAAATCTGCTGAGACACAATGAAACTCTCGTGAATTGTATAAAACTGATATGCATTTTTAAATCATTCATGATTTGTTTAATGAAGGACTCGAATCATTATATCTGCTTACTATGATTCATTAGAAGAAAAAAAAATGAACGTGCAATAGATGTTACATATGCCAAGTGTTTAAGTCAAAGGTAAATAAATAGCACCATAGTTTCCGGCGATTTCCTAGATTGGACTTTTAATTGCCGGAACTCAATTCGTTTAAAAAGTAAGGAATGGACAATTTGCAATAGTTTAGGAAAATTTTCGCGGTCACGGTCGAATTATATTACCTGCAAGGAACTCGTTAACGTCAAGATTTTCGTTACTGCGATAACTACTATCGTACTTTTCAACATACGCGTACAAATTGTTTGCTCTTCTTGTTATAAACTGCTTCCAAGTTTGGATAAGAAATTTTATCAAAAGAAGATACTTTTTTTAAAAAGAGAGTGGAATTTAAAATTGATAGAAATATTTTAGTTTTATCGTTCTTTTTTAAATGTACTGTGTGACTTTCTGGAGAATGTTTCCTATGAATATTCGATGATATGGAAATTTGAAACGGACAATTTCAATTTTCCATTTCTGAACTTAAATAAATATTCAACATTTTAGCGAGCATTTTCAGTGAACTATTATAGGTTCTTCGAAAATTAATACGTAGAATATAATTAGTAAATAATACTTCTGTAAGTATTTTATTTTTCTTAGAAGTCTAATAATATACCATTTTATACATCCTAATTTGATTATCTGCTTATGAATGCCTAAGTGATTATGAATATGTGCGCAATTAGAAACCGCAGCAATTGTGAGAATTTCTTGTAGCAGCTGCACGTTAGCATAACAGAAAATCGTTCCAGAGGACAAAAAAAAGGAATATACGATTAAATGTTTTCCTTTAAACTAAAATAATCTTATTCATCTTCGTAATCAATACTGTTTATATTCTATTAAAGAATCGTTTCCATTCGAGAACTAACTGAATTCTACCTTCCGTGCAATCATTCCTTCAATCGTTATCACATTGAATAAAAATGTCATGCTTTTGTATTTTAATAAGTTCTTTTAACATGTTCTTCCATTATTTATTAATTCCTTATACTAATCATAAACGTTTATACAAATCATACTTCAAGTAGTACATCATACTTCAAGTAGTAATCGATTCGAAGTGAGTCAAGTACTTCGATGGTTCATTCTTGTGATATAACGTATCGAACGCACACGAGCGCAATGAATAACGTTATCTAAAAATTTATATTACTTTGTTGATAGCTACCTTGTCAAAATTGCACGCGACACGAACTTGACTCCGATCGGAGATGCTTTAAGCGGAGTTGTGGAATATCGCGATAACGATCAAGAGGTGTCCCAGATAATCGCGAACAATAAGAAAAATTCTTAGCCGCTCGACGAAAGTCCGGTTCGTTGCGTAACGCGAGCTATCATCAACCGGTTGTTCCCGTATCGCTTTATAAACGATTTTTGCGCCCGCGACTACGTATGTGTGTATGCACGTATTCTCCGAATTCTATTTTGCATAAAACTAAAACATCAAGCACGGATACTTACTCACGTGTATGCTCTCCGGTTAATTCGAGATTCCGGTGAAGGGAAAAAACCTACTTCTTCTTGTTGGTACGAGTTTTCCCGGAAAGGAAACAAATGGAGAGACTCAGTCTTGAAACGACTCGTGGCTCATATCCTCGGGCGAATTCCTTTTTCTTTTTCAATTGAGCCGTTTCAATCTACGCGCCGTCTTATTTATCTCATTAATCGGCCCGCGAATAACGTCACAAGATGATAACGACTTATCGACGAATTCTATTGTTAACGCAACCTCGGCTACTGTCATACGAAGTGATTTATAGATCGACGATTTTCCCCAACGCGAAAAGCGCGCTTCCTGCTCTATCGTTCAAACGGATCTCTTATCGCGTCTTGATAATCGGCGCGCGGAGATAATGAAATTCACACGGAAAATGAACTGTCATCAGAGTATAATCATCGATCTCACATGAAATTACCAATATGAAATAGTGTTGCTGATGGAAAATCGACGAACTTCTTCGTATTCCGCCGTTATATCAAATCTGCTATTTCTTTATTACAGATCTCATGAACACTCTTTTTCTTGAAAATGTCGTAGACAACCTTCTCGAGTCTTGGGTATCCTTTCGTTTACTGATCGAAGTCTCTTCTGGCCAGACCCAATTGAGAAATGATTCTTGTCTTAAAGCAAGTCTTCTGTTCCACTTCTGTTTCTGAAGTCCGTCCCAATCACGTATGTAACTTCTAATATTCCAATTTGCCTTTGATTCGCTTCCGAACGGTGGAAGAGAATCTGCAGGCGCGTGCAAAACGGGTGACAGGCGACGAACGCAACTAACCAGGTTTTTTCGGCGTAACACAGGTATATATACGAGAACGGCCGCGTGCAGTAGCACCGTGACGTCTCGCTAGAATTGTGTGGGAGGGGAAATACAGGCCGTCCCTCCTAATAAGTTCTCTATCAGACGTGCTCGCGAATGGTGCCCGACCGAGTCGTCGTCCTTAGCATCGCGACGACGACATGATACCACGTCGCATCACCGTAGTACAGGGCCACTCGTAACGATCCAACTGCCGCGATACCGGACCACCCGAACTGTTCGATCTCGTGCCGTTTCTGCATTTCGCACCGGTTCCCTTTCACCTTCCACTCCTTGTTTTGACTCCGCTCCCACCTTATGAACGATTTACTACCCTCTCCTCACGCGGTTGATCCCCTGAACTCTTTTTCCTTGGATGGGATAGACGGCTCTTTTTCTTCCTACAGTCGACCCGCTTCACGGTCCCAGGCTTGTGACGCAGGCGGATGAATCATGGCACCGTGATATGGTTTCCATTCGTAAATGTCGATTCACCAAAAAAGCAAATCTACCATCTTTTCAAAGTTCAATGATTCTAACTGGACGCGATGATGGATGTTGACTGATGTTAAAGAACAGCTAGTGATGTGTGAGTTGTTTGTATTGCTAATTCCAATTGAATCTTAATCTGTCTTGCCAGTTTTCTGTCAATTTGACATATTTGTATCCAGTCACTCTGTCGTTCGCATCACTCAATTTGGATAACTCCAGGCTTGACAAAGACAATCCGGCTTGCAATCAATTAAGAGATTCAATTAAGAGGACGCAAACAACTGAACTGACATTCTCTGAACGTGGCAAACATGTCTGAAACATCTAAAAGAATTATCATCGCTCCTAAATTTTTGCAGGTGATACAATAAATGTCAATTCGTATTCAAAATTTCATTTGATTATTAGCTTCTATTTTTAAACAATTTAGGAAAGAAAAATATCTTATATAACTCGGTAAACATTGAGAGAATAATAAAAGTGTAAAGTGTGCTCCATGAGTATTAAAGGATAGGAAAACAAGATATTGTTTTTCAGAGGAAAGTTTTAACAAGCTAAAACTGTAAAGTCTACAAACAAGATTTGTGAATTCGTTTTCGTCGAAGCTTAATACTCACTGTTAACATGTGCGCGGCGTGTGCATCCGTGTATCTACCTGTAATTGTCTGCATAAATATTCAGAACCGCCGTTTGCGTATTAAATGATTCATAACTATCCGATGGACAGTGTAAATTATGCCTCACGAATACAGCGATCAAATGTACTAGTATTTATGATCTTTTTTCTCGACTGCTCACACGCGAGAACTAGCAACATTTCCAGGATCTTTTCATTACGGTGATGTAATTTAATTCCGCATTGCTGTTTAATATCTTCGATCAGTGGACGGATCAAGAACGAACGTTGTAAAATTTGAATAGACAACATGTTTTTTTATTAATTCCAATATATTTCTAACAAAATTATTTTGGTATAAGTATCCAAAGTGATTAAAATAATTTTTACACAATGTTCGCTTATATGATAGCTAACCGATAAATAAAAAGAGTAAGAAAATTTGTCTATAATATAAAATATGTATGTATATAAATGTGTACCACTAGTGTAAATTGCTGTGATCCCATAAATGTAATATAGAAAACTGCTTTCATTTTCGCTGATTAATTAGCATGCATCCTCTCTCTGGGCACCATACTCTTTGATAATGGACATCAAACTTTGAGAAAATCCAGAAACCTGACGAAGAGATAAGAAATGGAAATTTGTTATTTGAATTGCTTCAAATTCATTTCTGAACTTATGATACAAAGGAATAATTTTTCATATGAATGTGAAAGTATGTCTTGAACAGTTTTTTTGTTGGAGATAATTGATCAACTATGTGGCTGACGAAACAGATTGAAAACTGAATGCAAGTTTTTTTGGGGTAAATATTAGTTAGACCGTCAAATTATAGATCTGGCCTTGCACCTAGTGTTATAATTTGCAAAAAAAAACAGGCAGTGTCGAACACAACTTGCAAAATTGTGCTACATTCCACGAGGCTTATTACACATCAAAATTGTACGGTTCGATATCTTAGTTGCTGATTTACTAGAAAAACAGAAGAAAATACCGGAAAAAGAAAGTTGCTGATAGATACGTGACTATTACACGTGATGCTACGTTATATCTACTCTAGTAATTCATGTACTTTATTATTCTGATGCAAGTACGTTTAAAAATTGCCGTTCTAAAGAAACTTATGAATATCTGACTTAATATTTCCAATCAAAGTTCATTACTTCGTTCCCAGTACAATCGTTTGATACGTTTGGGGGCGATAATTTCTAAGAAAAATCTGATAACATTTTATCAACAACCTTCGTAGAACATCGATGCGGCGGTGTATCAATTTTCCTTCTTTACACAAATTTTTTACAATTTTTCTGTCAAACATTGCACATGATATTGAAGGTAGATACTGTAAACAATTTTCTCATTTACGTCATTTGTATGTATAATAAATATATGTCAATTTTTGGTTTATCACTCTTTTCACCTGAACACAACTAATTATTACAATTGAGCTAATTTTATCAACGATTATTCACAACAAATTAGCCAATTCATAAAAAAACGTTAAATGTTATATTTAACTACTTGTAGAACATTGTATGTTAAAAGGAAGTGCACACTGCACCCGACGCGCATTATTCACAAATGACGATCATTTAAAACGGGATCGGTGTTGTGTAACATAAATGATGGCATAGACTATAGAAATTATGCAAAACGCTGAGCAATTGCGTGTCTTTCCCGTTTTTTTACTCACCAGTAGGACGATCCAGATTACGGATATAATACAGTTCTTGGTGAGAAGAAATCGCGTGGCTTCATCCCACTTCGTCGTCGTTTCGATCAGTACCGGAACTAGTAGCATAATCGAGGTCGTGCTTAACGCTGTTAAGAGCCCGAGCAGAGGAACCAATTGAGGAACGGCTAAGGCAATTGTCGCTACGAATAAATAAATTAAGATGCAATAAAAATTGTTTACGCAATGGATAAATTACAATAATCCATCATTCTTTAAATAAATTCATGTCGATCTATGACGGCCTATATTATACCAGTAAGTGAGTTGAACTTTGACATAATTTACTGAATAGAAGCAGTCCCGACAAACGGAGGATAGCTTCGCCTATTCTCTCCCATTCGGGTGGAATCTCCCACCTTTCTCGAATCAGTGGCCACAAAACTCGCATGGGCACGTAATAACTTAAGCCGAGCGTGCACAACACAGCAAACGAAGTAGCAATTTTGACCGCCTGCGCCAGCCTGTAACAATTACATTTTGCAAATCTCATGAATCTTAAAAGTGTGATTTAAAAAACTAAAGAGCATCATACGGAAATATAAAACGAGGAATTTAGGAAAAATAACTTGAATTATTTCAGATATTTAGAATAATCTAATATCAATTGCACAATTTACTTTTTTTTAAATGGAATGTAGTTTATGCATAGACTAGTGTACTGTATACAAATAGTGAAGCTAAGATAACAAAGTTTGCACGATAACGAATACCATGGAGCACGTGTAAAGTAAGGGTATTAACTACTTAAGAGATAAATCCACGATCGAATTTTTAAATGAAATCTCATCACTCCATAGTGGCTTGTTTTTATGGAAAATTGCATATGAGTCTTTAGATGTACAAATATCATTTTTAACAATAAACCAGCTTGTTCATAATAAAACTTTTAATTCCTCTATATCATTCCATTAACTTTATTAATTACTGTAAACGATAAGACTAGAGTTTAGATTTAGATGATAATGATTTGATTAATACGACTGTTTCATTTGTTAGATTAGGGATAAAACGAACAACGAACGCCTCTTTAAGTTGATAGAGAAAATTTCTTTGATTGCACCACAAATCCTTAAATAATATATCTGTAAAATTTAATAACTCAAGGAATTACTGTGGAATACAGGGAACAATCTTTCCGTTAATCGGTTACTTGATTTTGATGATTGATTGATGAAAATGAATTGTTTAGTTCTATCATAAATCAACCGCGTAATCAAGAAATTCATTTAAAACTCGCAAATAATGAATTTAAGGTCTTATAATCCTAAATAAAATCAGCAAACAATGCAGACGCAACGCCCAGGAAAAAAGCAATCAATCTCCTAATCCTTTTATATCGGTTGTAGACTACCATCGAGATACGATCGACATTTCAATTCCGTTTCGATTGCGTTGATTAAAATCACAATCGCACGCAGTAGAATCGTGCATGACGTTCTGTGTGGTTTCTTAAGGGTAATACCGATAAGATATAGCATTGCGTAGATTAATTTCAGGCCAAGTTGATTTCACATCTTTTTAAAACCATCTGATAGTGATTGAGCCTGGTTAGTTGTCGCACAATGTGCCAATAATTTTAGTAATTCACACATTTTGCATATCGCCTACTTAACATTGATGTTCCTTCCACTTAAAGTTTAACAGACGTATTACTATAATTGCCAAAAGTGACGCGTTCGACCATGCATGCTGTTGCAACGGGTAAACGCATTCGCGAATGGAACAACGCTGAGTACATACTTCTGTCGTCGGAACACGTGCCGCTTTCTTAACGCGAATGTATTATGCATGTTGTGTTTCATTCACAAAAGCAAACTACGTATGAGAAATTTCGGTGAATTTATTGTGAGACTGCCTCCTTAAAAAATGAGTAGCCTGCAAATTCATATAAGGAATATATGTAGAACCTTTGGGATATTAAAAGATAATTCTGTTGCATTTTGTTTTTTGTATTTCGTATTATACGTCTTTTATACTTCTGCATATTTCATTTTCGTGTAATATAGAATTCGCAGTCTAATAATGACGAATATCTTCAGACATGGTACCACGTGCCATAAAACGAGAAGACGGCAAGAGTAATTATGTAGTAAAATCATACAACATTCTTGACGAGGTTTAGGGGGCATCCTTGCAGAAGCTATGGCATTTTTAAATTAGGGAAAGAATGCGTTACTTAGTACTTGATAAGCTGAGATAAGAAGAGATAAAGAATTTTATAACGCCTGTTTTAATCCCATTTCTTTTCTTCGTTTGATTGCGTGCGTATGATTTCCTTCGTCATTGAACTAATCTATTTTTCGTAAATTCGCGTATCAATTCGCTTGGTGACTTTAGAGATTTCGACAAGCGAATCACCGAATCCAAAGAATAAAATTAATGTATGAATTATGATTTATTTTAATAAAAACAGTTTAAATAAACGGATATCGTTTTAATAATAATGTATACTAATCTGGTTGTTTCGTTTACAGAAATTGATTGTTTAAATAATAATAACGCTGATATCGAAATTCTAGAAAATGCAATTCGTCTTCTTCTTAGTATCAATGAAGTCACGTTTGCAATCGAGTATAACAGGACGTGTATGCCTCAACAATTATAAGAATGAATTATCTCGTAGATGTTATAGGTATGTGCATACAAGTAATTTAATTAAGCACGTTTGCCTGGAAAGTTACAGCAGGAAAAGCATGTTTCACATTGTGGAATTTTGTCTGATCATGACTACAGCTGTTTACACCATTCCCGTGTATCATTTGATAAATTTGCATTCCAAATTCGTAATTAACTTACAAGATTACTTGTTACAACTTAGTGTACACGGTAGCTAAGAAATATTTTTACATATTATGCACGTGATTCATTTTCCCCGGTACTCCTTTGATTTATTGAATGCTGTGCTCGTGGAATGATCCTTTCGAAGATCATTTTTTTCGACGGTATCTACGAGCAAAGTGCATAGATCACAGTATGTACTTTACGTGAGCGACATAAGTGTCTTTCATATTTGTCATCGCGATAAGTTTCAATCTCATTGTGAACGAATAGTTAGGATATCAACAATAATGTATTTTTACGCTTGTCTATGGATTCAGCAAAGCTTTCAGATTTATCTGAGCAGATTCCATCGTATTAAAAAGAAAATGAGTATTTGTCAGAGATATCGTTAAGAAGAGATTCCCTTAAATCAATAGTTTTCTAATACAATCAAAGCGATTCAATAGTACGAAGAAGTTTATTGCAAATATATCTCCCATTTAGTTAAGATGAATTGAAAATGATTTGGGAAAGGAGAGATAGAAATGGACACTGCATTTCGAGGAATTTATTAAATGCAATCTATTGATCATTCTTTATTTAGTCGAACTAAAACCAGTAGAAAAAAAATGATTAATAATTTAGGAAAGCTACTCACGGTTGGTCAATGGGCAAATTTTTTATCACCGTGTCGCAGGTACGTTCAAAATATTTGTTGTAGCCCAGGAAGCCGAACGTCGTGTACAGGCAAGTGTTGAAGAACATGTTGATCGTTATCAATGTTGGTAAATGATGCGGGGTCTCCATAGAGTTCTCCAATGGCATGCATAAGGTCAGGTTGTGCAGGGAGAATAGAAAAATGGTACAGTACATGGGTATCGGTAAGACGGCCGTGAACTTTGTTAACCGTCCTGGATCGGGGATGTCTTCCAGGAAATAATACATGCTGACGCAAAGACCGGTGAACATGAAACATGAACCGATTACAGAAAACGGCGCCAAATACTTCAGGTGTGGAACGAAACCGAGAATCAAGTACAGCGGAAACAGTGACACTATGTAAACTCGTATATCTAGTTCTACGCCGGAGAAAAATTCGATCACCTGAAAAATCATTGACATTATGACTCATTATTAATAAATTCTAGACTTCGTACAATTTTAAAGAAATGAAATGTCCAAGAAACAGCATGTCGTAATATTTAATCGAAAAAAAAAACATTTATTTTCCAAGGGCGTTGAATGAACGAGATATGTTAGAGCCATTATTCAAAGATACGTATTTAAATGAGCCACGGACGGAAACAAAAGGAATATGTAAACACGTTAAACTGAACTTGTTACGTATTCAACAAGCGATTTCGCGAACTGAACAGGTGTTGTGGTCCCACGTCCTTTCGATATGCATCGACGGATCGGTTTGAAAGAAGAAATATTTAATGGTGAATAAAGAACGAGGCTACGCTTTCAGGAACAGGAAACCTTGCAAATAAAGTAAAACAGTCAATGACAGAAAAAATCTGTAAAAATGTATCCTAGTTTTAACTCAAGAATTCAGCGAGTGTTTCTTCTGCCATTAACCACGAACGTTTTATCGTGTTGGCTAAAAAGCTTTCTTATATATTTCTTATCCTGAACAAATTTATCGACTATCTACATTAAGACGCAATTATAAAATTGTTTAAATTCGTGTTTTCAAATCTTTTGGCTAAACCCAAGGAGTTTCAGTTTAAATGTGGAAATGATAGGGAAAGTTGATGCGGTTAAATGAAAACGGGTCCTCACTTGCTGCATCGAAGTGGATATGTAAAGGATGTATATTACGCCAGCTTGCATGTGGACGAATATAACGATCACGTTCATTACGATCCCGAATGCTTTGCTGTATTTTTGCACCTTTTCTGGCCCACTGAGGAACGAGGTTCGTGCCGTTCCGGCCAAATCCAACATCGGCACGCGATTTCGTCTGCACAAAATCTGAGAGCATTTCACCTGCGAAAACGAGTTTTCGCGTCATATCACGTCTCATCTGACAACATCCACGACGTCTTTTTGTATAAATACCGAGTGTAAATGTTTATCTTTTCTTACAGATTTAAGATGTACAATATTTTATACATTTTACAGTATTTGCACAAAACGATTTCTCACATTGTATTATGTAATAAACATTAATGTATTATGTGAAAAATTGTTTTATGAAAAAATTATGACCGATTGCTATCAAAGAAAAATACTTTAATGACGAATTCGTGATCGATTTTTCAGCTTAATTTATTGTATGAATATTTTCATCAAACTTCCTTTGTCTTTTAAAACATGACATGATTAGTATAAGAGTCATAAGGAAGATAGTTAATGTACTAACTTTCACTGAGAGTATTAATCTTCACCACTTGATGAAAATGATAGCATTTGCTCTTAAACGGATGCCTCAACCAGCACGAATCCGTTTAATCGCACTTTTAATTATTTTTTACATGTGAGATTACAAAATACCTTACGTAATCGTTCGATCGCCATAAAAGTTTCCCTACAATACTTTCACTCTCTTCGTTAACTTTTTGCCTTAAAGTGGAGTATATACTTACCAACGTAGTGACCGTGTGTATACACAGCAAGCCTATAACGAAGCCAGATATGAGTGGTATCACTAAACCACATCTCTTGAATCCGTTCGGTAAAAAGAGTATCCCGTTACCAATCGACCCTTTAAACAGATGCATCAATGCAACAAAATCTCTGAAAGACGATATCCCCATTCAGTCTAGGATTAATTCGTGTGTTCATCACCTACAATCACTGTCGATCTGATTTTATTATTTCCCATTAAATGAAAAACAATTCGCTTTTTAAAATAGAAAGTTAGTGAATGATACGATGTTTTAGCTTCGGTAATTTTTGTATTCAAATACTAATTGATCTTAGGACAGCGTAAAAGGAAAGTGAATGTAAAGGATTAATTTGGAAAAGAATGTTCTTGTAAACGTAAATGATATCTGAATTATTGAAATGATAATATTGAAGACAGTGAAAGAGGAAAAGAATATCTAAATGCATCACGAGATCATTGGTTGATCCATGTCACGATGCGCTATGGGATCATAGTCGTCTTCCTGGCCTCGCGCACGGCTTGGGGTATCAGCACCCTTCCCGAATCTGTCAAAGAGAGAAAAGGCAAATAATGGGCGGTGATCGAAGCGATTGATGTTCTTGACTGTGTTAGCCTCACCTGCTGGCCATATCGAGAGTTCCTTAGAACTCTGCAAGGTCCTTCCCCTCTTCCTCCTTCCCTTCCACCGCCACCTTGTTTCCAACGTTAAGAATATCCGGAAGTTTCATTCCCGGACTTCCAACGATGACACACGTACGCAGTTGAATTTCAATCGACGACCTCGTCTATTGTCGGCCAATAACTTACGGTTTCGATATGATGACTCGTAATGATACTAACTATCAGTTATACGGAAAAAACTTTGTGCCGCACACAATTTATTCTTCCAATTCTAACTGACCTGTTAAAAAATATTAATAACTTATACTTGTATCATTAAATATATCTGTGTATTAACTCAAGAATGTCTAACTTCCACGATTTCAAGTTGTGTAATAAATAAAAACATTCCGCTTTCTGATCAAATACGTAAATACGTATGAATACATCAAATTCTCGTAAGTCCAGAAAGACAAAACTTTTGTATTCACACTACGCAGAAAATATAAGTAATCGTGTATTGTCTAAAACTGTACAGAATATCAGAAGCTATGCGCATATCACAATTTTAAGTACTGAATATTCAAATTTTTAAACTAAATGATACCCAGTCTAGTTGTTCGAAAAAATTTAGCAGTTTTCTGCTATCGTTAATTCAATTCACAGTGACAAATCTGCTGTGCTGTATAACTACATAATTTACTACCACGATGAAGTCTACGTGTTAACAGCGAGTTCATTAGGAAATGTCCTTCGCTGAATAAATATCCGAAGGAATTCTCTTATAAGGAAATTCAGCGTCGAGCTTCGATTTCCGTGTTGTTTAAATTAGTATTTAATCTATTTTTATTTTCGTTCGTGTAAAACGCGTACGGTTCGATTTTTTTATCTTTTATATCTTGAATAACTTCAGTAACAATTCTGGCATGTTAAATCAAGCGATACACAGTAAGAATTTTTAGAATATAAAAAGATTGTTTAATTATTTACTTACCTAATTTTAAACAATGAATGTAACCTTGTTAAATATTTTATGATAACGTCTGGAGATAACGATGAAAATAATAGTACATTAACAACTTGAAGATAGTAGAAATTGTTTCGTCAGAGTCAAAAACACCATCATGATCATTTTTAATTACTTTATGATAAATCCTTGGATTAAATAAGTAATTCGGATCTTTTAGATTAGGTGAGTAAAAACCACGATGGATACGTAATATCGTATTTATTAATTGGATCACATTATCGCATTGTTACACAGATTCGTCTGTACATTAAACTAACTTTATTTAAATAATTCACGATGCCGTGGTACGTAGGTATGTATTCATATATGTACAAATGGTATCCGAGTGTGGGAACCAGTAATAAAACGTTCGTTTAATCGGCATTTAGCCGCACGCGTATTTGAACGCCGGCTAATAAGTCTATAATAATTAATATAATACAACGATGAAAGTGTGTTCTATCATCGAGAATTAAAAGGAAGCTGCTAAAAACATCGGCGCAATTTGCTCAACACTCCCATTTTAAGCGCTCTCACAGTCGTTTTATTATTTTCTTTTAACTTTAATTAACGTATAAAAATAATAGCCTCCAGTCGGCACACGTTGAAGTCCACCGGCTGTACATACACATAATTGGTAATCTGAGCATTTATCGTTCCCTTTATTTCCTCTCTTCTATTTATATATCCACGTTTTTCGTTTTCACGATACAAAGGCGGCGGCTAAAAAAGAAAAACTCATTTCTGCGATTCACACGAGTTTCTCATTTTTTTATTTCACACTCACACGCGCATACGCATACCACCCAGACGCACGCTCTCCCAACCGCGTACAAATAGGCACTAAAAAATAATAATATACGTAATATAATTATAAGTAAAGTCTGTCAGTCCTATGTGAGTTCAGCTATTATAAATTAATCACATATTTCTCTTTTTATCGTTTTTCTTCTTAGAGCATATACTCCTGGAGGCAACGTTTCAAGCGTTGAACGTGTAGACGGGGTAGAAATATTTAGCTATATATTTCTCTCCCACAGCATATTATCGGCCACGACACTCTCTTCCCGTACTCTAATCCCTTCCCTTACTTATCAATAAGTAATTTGAAAGAGAAATGTCGTGGCCAATCTCGTATCGCGAGAAAAAAACAACATGTAGATAAACTATGTCTCTCTCTTTTTAAGGGTTTGTCTACAGTTTCCGCATATTTGGAAACTACTTCCAGTAATACATGCTCCGAGTTTTTCTTTGTTTTTCTTCTTCTATCTCCTCTCGCGTCACACGTCCGTCGTAACGATTACGTGTTTAGGATCACAGGTTCGCCGCTGTGATTAAAAAATTTCTTACTCCTTTTTATAAATAACGGAATTGGTTGAAGCAAGGAACTGTGTGTTACTTATCAGTAATTCTTAAGTCGAGATCGTGACCAGAAAAATAAAATACGTATCATTCGCCACTTTAAATACGACGTGATTTTATTTTTATTTTTCGGAATCTGATATTCGGTATTTTTGTAAATTCGAAGTGGAAAGTTGTTTAAAGTATTAAATGAATATTCTCTTATTTTTCAAATTACGACCCTCTCGTGCTCGAGTTGATCGAGTTACTTGAATTTTAACGATTCAAGTAATTTGGCTAATGAGAACGAGACGTTTCAATTCAAATCACACGATCCGACTATATGATTCTGAGTCCATTCATCCATCAACCTAAGTCTTTAATAGTAAAAATGACGCTCGACTTTCTTAATATCCTCTCTTGTGTTTTTTTCTAACGTGATTTTCTATCAATTCATTTCTCCGCCTTACAGAATATCAGTGTATATGTATGAAAATCGTCACAAAATTTAGCGGAGATAAAAAGTTAAATGCACACTGAGAGTACTTAATAGAATACGATTTAATTCTGCCAAAAATTAAATGAAAGTTGGAATATCGAAAGAAAAGTACTTTAGAGATTGAATTGTAAATTTTCATTCAATTAGATTTAAGAGAACGATTTAATACCTTTTTATGTTAATTGTCAATGTTTATATTTCTATATCGTGCGAGCATATTGTCAGAGATACATGTCCATGCAATCTTTTGATATGTGTGCTTCTACAAGAAGCTTCTAAATGATCTGTTCGTAAAATTCGAACAAGTTTCGCACTGTGCTTTTCAGCTTGGAATTCGTAAACAGAGTCTTGAGGAACAGAAAATTCCTTTATGAGTCTGACATCGTTTTCATTTAAATATGTATATACATGAAAATTCGTCAAATCGTTTCGTACGCATACAATAAATAAATTCCATCACAACGCAAGTTTGAACGAAAAGTGTAAAATATCGTTTAGGTATGTGTATGAAGTATTGGAATACGAGATTGTCAAATTTGCAGCATGGAATGTGCCGATAATTCGTAGTTGCTGTTCATTCCTTGTTCACTTTATTTGTTCATCTTTTTGAAAAATTGAAAAAGAAGAAACGTAGGTAATCAATTTAAAAATAACAAGTATGTTATCAGTGTCTTATTTTAAATATAATAATTAAAAATTGCCTTTTTTTCGAGCGAAGTCTTCTCCGAACGTAAGTAGTTGCCAATAGCTTTATAAATATTAGAGAATTCAAGTGTCGCACGAAAAGATTAATAGAATCGGTTTCTCTTCGAACAAAAAGCACATTGATATCAATATTGATGCATTTCATAACTTTGTATGATTCAGCAATGATAAGACAATTTTCGTTAATCAGCAGACAAGGAATACAGTCTTAAGTTACATTTTCAAAAAACTTCATTGAAAAATTCATTGGATCAGGTATCAAGTAATCATAACATTTGCCGATTAAAATTGTTCGTAAATATATGTAATCGGCAATTCTTTGGTGGTATACATCATTCAAAAAATGTATCCACCGAATTTTAAATATGCCTCCAAATCACTGCTACGATAAAAGTGACATAAAGATGTTTCTCAAAACATACTACGTCTTGTAATTGTATGAATTAAATTTTTCTCATAGAATTGACGACATTCCATTACTTAAAAAATATTCAATTTAATAAATAATAATCATATTAAAAATATTTCAAATCCCACATCGAAATATTATACGTAATTTCAGACTAATGAATAATATGCAGATCAACTTATTATTTTTCAATATAAGAGAAATTCATTTGTATTTCTGATTTTTATTAAGACTTATCATAAAATTTCCGGTGTAATTGTTTTACTTCAGACACATTACGCTCGATGATCCTTTTTATAAAATCAGTAGAATCAATAAGGTAGGTATTCTGAGAAATAAGAAATAGAGAACTTTTGTTCGAATATTTTACAAACATCAACGTACATCTTCCATTCGATACTGCAAATGAACACACATCGGTGTACCATACGATTTTCAATTGCTGTGTGTGAAAATAACAAATCAAATAACTGTAATTCAATGGTGAAAAACATTTTGTTGAATAATTGTTAAATTTCCGACGTAATGTAATTCTGCACAACATATAAAATGCAACTAGTTTTGTTTACAAATGAGTTCGAAATGCGAAATGAAAATAATTACAAGTGAAATGCAAAATGGTACACTTAAATTCTATAAAAGTTTTTCACTTCTATAATCTTGATTTGAAACTGATTTCATTGTATACCGAAGAATCTTGATGTTTCAAAATCTACTCCTCTCGAAATAAAACTAATTTTATTGCTCTTATGTTACATACATGTTCCTTCTTTCTCTTTCTTTTATTTTAGAATAGAAAAAGTGAAGGGGAATCCGATATAGAGAATAAACTTTTGAACACTTGAAAACAGAAACGTAATCTGAAGTTTTCTTAACTCCTTATTAAATAATACTGATATTACTACAAAATGATGACATTTAAATGATTCAAAAACATATATTGATCTTCTCTGACATCGACTAAAATTAATAAAATAAGAAATGATTATCTTACCCCGTGTTAATAAAAAGACTTAGCTTCAATGATTCATCGATAAATAAAATGTATAAAGAAAGGGGCTCGTTCGTTAAATAAAAACTGCTATAGTTTCACAGTGATCTTAACATATCTCCTACCGTATTCGAAATTCTAGTCGCATGTTCTTCTTTTCTTCTGCCCATATTAATTGCAATTCCAAATGTCTATCTTCAAGCGTATTGTATACCGTAAATGCCAATTCGAAAATTCGACGCACCAAGATTCTCTAAGTACGATACTGAGCAAGTTAACAAACGAGTTGTGCGGTTAGCTCTCGTTCGAGATCGGACGACCCTCGAGCGAATCGCACTCAGCTAAGGCCTCGCCGCAACGAAAGGAGCACTCGTCGGTTAACAAACTTTCCGGCAACATCGCCGCCGAGTCTATGCTATCAAAATAATGATGAGGCCAAACGGAACTCTGTCGGAAACGTCTGGTCGGCGACCCGATGATGAATTCCACCTTGGTGGTACCAGTTGCCGAAGACGTCTCTTGATTCAACGAGTCCGGGTATAGGGAGGAATCGCTGTGCCGAAAGCTACCATTCGTCGAGCACCAGGAACTCGGTGGTTCCGTGCAGCTCTGAAAATAGGATCATCGTTCTCATTAATTGTCGCAATCTTCGTCACGCAATCCGAACGTTACAACGAAACGAATCTTAAAAGTCTCTTTACGTGTTGATTCGTAATTGAGTCGTATCCTTGATTATATCAGATCATAATTCCTACGATAATTATGAATAATTTGTCAACGCTTTCTGATTAGACCTTGTATTTTAATATGGTACTAATACCGTGATTTGATTTGATGTTTTCTTAGTAACGATGATACTATTGATAGCGTCGCTAATTTATTTATCAGACTACTTTACGCGTTCAGAATAGATATTCGAATATTTGCAGTGATCATCGAGAGACAAGAAATTTAATTTTGTTTATAAATTCGTCTTTCTTAAGAATAATTTTAAACATGTGATGATACAAGATATTATATAAAACTTTCAAAAATTGAAAATTAAAAACAAATTTCGGCACAAAGGTCGGCAGACAAAATCTTAACTAAAAAGTTGTAAATTTTATGATCTACTAAACAAACTGCGTATTAACACTTCCAGTATGGAAATTTTTACAACAAACATTACACGAATTTCCGACCATCACTGCAAATACCCAAATGACCGTTGCACTTTAACCAGTGCAGACAGATCGAAAACATCGTAAATTGACAGATATAATCGAATTCGTACTGGACGTAACGTGGACAATGAAACAAGGCCAAGCAGGTAAGCGTGTAGTTGATCATTTTCCTTTACGATCAGTCATCGTTTACAACGTAAGTGCGAATCCGAGCCGCGTCATGACTCTCGAGGCTATGCCCGCATACAAGCGACGCTAGCAAATTAAAATCGGAATTCAGCAAATGAAACAGCAAAACAAGCTGAAAGATTCTTCTAAACGAAATACGTACTCGAAACCTCAAACTCGTGCGATGTGTTTACCTACGTATATAAATGCTTTTCTTACTTTTTTTATGAATGATGTACAAAGTAACTAAAAGAAGGAGGTGGATGCAAGGACAGTCGAGGAATCATTCCCAGTGTTCGCATGTCCGGTAAAATTATTCGCCAAATTTTTTGATGCATTAAACAGTCAAGAAATCAAGGATTCCTCAATTTTTAATAATTTTAGATATATAAATTCTCGTTGGATTGCGATTAGATAAAAAATTTGGCGAAGTATTAGAGAATGCATGCATTTATTGCAAACACAATAATACTACAGGACCATCGAAAAAAAACGAAAAAAAGAAGTATCATTCTAGAAACTGTATACGATAAAGTAATATGAATTTTAAAAATAGAAAAATATTTTCCTCCGAACACAATCATGTGTTAGAATGACTCTTCTACTTGTTTATCACAAAAACTATGTGATTATTACTGTGTGAGGATCATAGTTCACAAAGTACATAATTCAGATGGAAAATTAAAATGGGGAAGCTCACTACGGGTGCGTGTGCATGCCAAAAAACCAAGTGAAAAGAAAGGACGGCCAGTAAAATGTGTGAAACTACTTGATGGGAAATAGAAAAAAAAAGATACAGGCTCGTAGCTCACCACATCCAGGAAGAAGCATCGAAGCAAATGATAATAAAAGAAGCATAACTTACGAGAAAAACCGGCGGCACGCGAGTAGGGGCCATTTTCTTTATTGGCACGCCGGGGACGGGCTCGAACGCACGCTCGCCTGCGCTCCAGATCAGACATATCGGTAGTGGATCATCGAGCGATTCGTCGTTTTTAAGACAATTGTCGGTCGAGAGTCTCTGTATACGTCAAAGTTTGAATAACGTTTGCAGGGAAGAATGATTGTGATGCGTTCTGTGCCTAGGGAATAGTTAAATCGGAAAGTAAACGATTCCACGTCATAAAATAAGAATATAGTCAAACGCGTGTTTAAGAACGCGTCTGGTAATAAAATGAGAAATCACAAGCGACTGGTCAAACGTAACGTCAATCGTTATATCGAAGAGAGATAGGGATGAATGGAGAGGTTGGTGAAGACTAGCGTCTCAAATGTATCGACAAATCAACTGGTTCATGAAACAAATTGCAAACGTGTACGGGATATATGAAGTATTTTCTGAATCGCTATATGGATCACGAAAAGAGTAGTGAAGACTAGCGTGTCAACTGTACCGGCGAATCGAATAATCGATAAAGAAAAATATTACAGCGATAGTGAGTCGTTTGTTATAACCGGGGCTTGCGGGTGAGCACAAGTCAGCGTGTCGAGACTTTCTATCCGGGGTAAAATTATTAGAAGATCCAAAAGGCATGGGAGACTCGGTTCAAGAATGGGAACCAGACGGATTAGAAGCAGCAGATATCCCTAAACAGTGACTATCGGCCTGTGTCCTTGGAGAAGAGAGGATACCCGGGTGGACCCTCTACTAAATCGGTCCGTTGGACAACGACGACTTCAGCCAGTTGCTCCAAAAGTAGTGCTTTACGGATCGTACCTTGCCGTTCTCGGTATCAACGGACGTTGGCGGGCGGGCCAGACTGTGGGAACGGCGTGCAAGAGCGGACGATCGTCGAGGAGGTGTCGTCCCTGGGGATGAGGACGTGCCGAGGTTGCCAGACTCCAATGAGTCTCGGGCGCGGGACAGCGAGGAGGATTTGTTTAAGGAATCTCGGCTGGAATTATTACGTGGCAGGGATCTATTCAGAGATTCCCTACTCGTCTCCTTGCAGTTTCCATTCCCATTTCCACTCCCGTTTCCATTCCCGCTGCTGCAGTTGCTGTTACTGTTGCTCTTGGTCAGGCTCCTGTTGCTCAGAGAATCCCGGTTCGAGTCACGAGCCTTCGACAACGACTTGCCACTATGACTGTCGCGACTAGAATCACGCGGCGGCCTCGTCAACGATTTCAAGGACTCCTTGCTATCGTTCCTACCGTGACTAGGCGGTCTCGGCGCGACCGCCTTCGACGTGGAACCGGGTAAAGGTATACGACTAGGACGCCGTCGAGGCGACGGTTTCACCTCGACGGCTTGGTGATGGTCACGGGCCGATTCCGTGCTGCTTCCCGGTTCGAGACCATTCTGTTCGCATCTCGGTTGATCAACGTCCACCTCCGGATCCATTTCCGTCGGCGGTCGTTGTTGTTGTCTTTCTAATACCCGGACGCGCGCTCGTGTGCCTTCCAATTCGATTTTCCTCTCTTCCAACTACAGCACATGATAAAATGAATATTAGATTCAAGTAAATCAAGTTAAGTTACACCTCAAGTTCTAAAACAAATAAATTACCTGGAAACGCAAGTCATCGTTTTCCTCGCGAACCTTGTCCAACCGTTCAGAGAGGGTCTCCGTACTTTTCTGTACTTCATCTAACCTTTTTTGTAAGACCTGGTACATAAAAAATTATCTCATTATTATCCCTTCGCCCATATTCTTATTACTTTTTTTATGTAATGACAATTTTCCTTTTAATTCTGATTTATTAATTATAATTTACCTGATTATGGACGGTAGAAGTGATTAAATGCCGTTGCAGCTCTAGCGGCGAGTGTTCCCGGAGGATGGCAGCAATCTTTCTCGAGTCAACGTCCTTAACGTGGCCGACCCTGACGGGCGATACTAGGACGGAGTCCAACGCGCCCAACCGCGCTCTCCTCTCGTTAACGCTCGCCTCGATGTCGATGTCCCTCAGTTCGTCATTGTGCGCGGTCACGTCTAGCAACACGTTCTTCTCGATAGTCCTCGTCCTGAATCGACTCTTATGAGCCTTCGCGGACGTAGACACCGACGCGAACGCCGACGATTTGCTCTTAATGTTGCTAACGTTGTTGCTCTTCGGCGTCGAGGTAACGAGTGTGATCGGCTGGAGCCTCTGCGCGCCTGGCACGATGATGTCCGAAGACGTATCGTTCAGTCCAGTCTTCAGCCGATCCTCCAAACCAATCTTAAGAGCGGATAACGCGGCCAACTCCGACTGAAGTTCCTGCGCTCTGGCTCGGCTCGATATAGTCTCGGCTTCGAGTTCCGCGACTTTATCCAAGAGTTGTTCTTTCTCCCTTTTGAGTACTATCACCTGAGAATCCTTATCTTCTTTCTCTTTCTCGGTCGATATCGTAGTTTCGCTATCCAAACACGTGACCTTCCGCACATCGTCTAGGATATCCGCAGATTCCAGATCTTCGGGCGCCACGCTCTCCAAACGTCCCTGAAGGCATTCCACCTCTTCTCTCAGTCTAATCCCCTTACGGTGGATCACGTCCAGAAGATTCCACAGCTCGTCCTCCGCCTCGTCTAGCACAGCTGGCCGAGGACTGTTCGGTCTCGGCGCTATAGCTGTCGAGGCGCTGTCCTTCGAGGATGTTTCCGTGCTGAAACCCGAATCTTGGACCGTCGCGCTACAATTGTTCTTCGTACCGCCGCTGTGCGAGTTGCTGCGGCTTCTAGGCAACGACGAGGACTCGCCGCCACCTTCCCGTGGCGCCCGTCTTCTGAGCTTCCCCGGCTCCCATTCGTTGATCCTCCTCGACGACGAACTAGACAGTGGTAAGGGGATGTGAGAGTTTTGGGTACAAGAGGATGACATCACAGACGCTCCCGCGGACGCCGTCGAGGCCATCTTGTGCCTGAGGTTTGGGAACGTCTCGATGACGAGGTCCCGAAACTCGAGCAGGGCGCCGACCTCATTCTGCAGTTCCTGTAGGGCTATCAGGGACTTGGCTTGCTCGCTTATCAAGTAGTGAAATGGACCCGGGCGCAGGGGCATGCAATCCATGCCACCACCGGTGCTGCTGTTACCGCTACCGCTCGCGCTGCCACTGACGCTACCGACGACGCCCTCCGTCGACCCTCCACCGCTGCCACACTGAAATCAAATCAATTTTTGTCTCTTATTCAAATGCAATTTACAAACTTCAATGATATGAAGTAACAATTTGAGGTTTAAAAAAAATTGTAATGAAATGCGTGATGTCTGAAAAAGCGACGCAACGCTCGAATTTTTAAAGAATAAAGAGACGTCTGATACGCAATTACTGTGAAATAAAGTGTGCACACAGGTATGAAACGATCTAGAAACGACGTAACACGTGTTTCATCAGTTTTCACTGCTACGAAACGAGAAGTCGAGACATGGGACAGCCGCGCGTGGTCGATTAATCATAACCGGATTGCAGGAATCGGTACTTGCTGCGTTTCGCGAACACGTTGCTGCACAGGTATCGTGTCGACGCGTCCTGACGCGAGACAAGCGATTGGTATGCTTTCCAGGTGTCTGGCGAACGCTGAAAAATAACGTGTACGCGTACGCGCGATGAGAATAAAGCGACGAGAATCAGGTTATTGGGACCTAATATCCGTCCGCTTCTTTCTCTCTCACGTCTGAGCCTCAAGCGTTTCCGATCGCGGATCCGGCATGAGAACGTCGTACTCCCGTGCACAATGAATTGATAAGCGACTACATTTTAGCTATTACTTATTATTATATAATATATAGTCTTCCCCTTTCGAATTTGGACAGAGAATATTGTCAAAGTTTGAAATAATTCAATTCCAATTATATTGTCTGAAGCGTCTAGTATAAATATAAAAAGGAGTATGAGATATTAATTACAAGGCGACAAGGATATAGGATAAGAAAAAGTACATTACAAATTACAATTTAACATTGCGATGCATGACGCGATCTAGTCAACCGGCACAGCATTAAGAAAGTAAGAGAAAACGGAACTTTTGTGTCAACGTGACCCTTGTAATAATTCCCGTGACGACTGGAGAACAACAGCGAAAAAAAAGCAAAAGAGTTGTAAAAGTCGCGTGTGCTCCTTTTCAGTAGACACGGAAAACTCGGAAACCGGATATTGTTTTTCACGAAATGTATTGTCATTGGTCAGTCGATTGGAAGAAACGTGGATCAATTCGATGAAATATTTCTGAAATAAATCTTAACGCTCCAAGTGTGCCTCTCAAGCACCTCCGAAGCTACTCAATTATAATTAATATAAATTAATATAAAATAATATAAATATCATTGTAGCATTTAAAGTCTGTTACTTAAAAACTTGCAAGTCGAAGTATGATGAGAATAAGTTGGAGTTGCCAGTCGATATTCACAATTAAAAGTTGGAGCGTTAAGGGTTACACATACATATATAGTAGACGGTTTTAAATTACAATTCGGAACGTATCTACTTCATTTCATTTTCATTCCTTTACTTTACACTTTACAATACTATTTGGCCAAATAAAATTCAATCCAAGGACTGTACGTGTATAAATGTATGCAAACTCGATGCACTATTATCATTTCATGTACATATCTAGTGTCTATCTGACAAATATGCGCATATTTATTTTATTTAGTAACATGTATTTTACTTGGAAATCAGAAAAGTTCAAATCTATCAACTCGTCGATTTTAACCTCCGCGGGAAAAAAAAACGGTGGAGAAATTCTATGTAGAAAAGTACGAGAAACACTCTCTCCTAATTAAATTAATACGAGCGAAACGTCTCCCGTCTGACCGATGATTATATACGTGGTTGAATCCCGTGGCGAGAATAAAATCCTTGAAATAATTGTTCGATTATACGTTGCACGTGGTCCCACGACAGGGAGGAGGTCGACAGACTTTCACTCGGGTGAAACCTTTATTTTAAGCAAACATCGAAGGGTTGTGATTAAATCATTGCTACTTTAGTAATTATCATGTAATGAATACTCGGCCTATTTGTTAGAAGAACTCCCTGTATAATTATTTCGCTGGTCATTATCGAGAATGTTAAATTACTGCCAGAAAACGAACAATTCACACATTAGTAAATACATAGAGCAGAATTCTCGAACAGCATTGAGATAGATAAATCTAAAAGAAATACCGCTAAACGTATAATACAATTATCTCCTTATAATTTCTTGCCAAGGATTTTTCTCCTATTGCTAACTCCGTAAATTATACATTTTATTATTGTGAGTCATTTATTCTCACCAATCAAATTCCTTACCCAAGGAACTGTATGATCCGATTGGTTTCTATTTGTTCGAACGCTCTCTAGAAATATGAACGTTTGAATAGTCGTGCAACGAGGAAACGCGTACACATGAAACGCGTTGATTCTCGTTCAGAAATGAACGCGCAACTCGTTAATTAGTATCAGACGGCACTGAAGTAATTACTAATATCGCGAGCGAACGCAACTGCGTTTAATAAGAGCGTTGCAGTAACTCCGAGATTCCATCTGAGATAGCATATTGTGGAGCGTACTAACAACACAGGAAGAGCAATCAAACGTTTCCGTTACTGATTTTTTATTGAAAACATTATGCAAAATTAATATATACGAATATTAAAAATCCAAGTCGTATTACTTGTGTCTATCTCTGTAAACTTTCTATTGAAACATTGTAATACAATATCTCTACTTGTCCGGAGAAAATTATCCACGAGTGCGTAAAAAATTTTCTAAGCTATGAAGATCAAATTTACTTTCAACGGGTGAATATTTACTTTCACTCTTCATACTCTTATTTCCTTACAATATTCTTTCTTGCACTCGATCATACGTTCCTTTACTTCCTACTTTATTACTAGTCAGCGGATGTAAAATGTTATATTTCATTTACATACTGCCTTTTGTTTAAATTACTATTTTGTATTTCACGCGCACTCAAGTCCTTCGCAGGAAAATTATGTATCTATTATGTATTGTTTCTTAATATTCCGTTGACGTCAATCTCTTACGTAAAATAACAAATAATTATTGTAATTTGTTTTTTTGACGTCAATTCTTTATACAGAGTGATGTATGGATAGTGTCCTGTCTTTTTCAGAACCGACACGCGTTACACATTTTTCACAATTAAATAAAGGTTGAAATAAAGATTCGATCAAGAATTTTGCGCTAGCTGAAGCAAGGAACGTAATTCCTGAGGAACACTCGACCCTGAATGAGATCAACGATCGAGTTCAGTGTCAGATCGCTGGAAAAGGAAAACGGGGTAGAGACCGAGAAGAGAAACCAACGCGTCGCGACGGACAGGCATACGGCCTGCTCTAACCTGTCACGCGCGCGCCTGGAAATGAGAATAACTAAGTACAACATAGGCTGCTTAGCTTGCTTGCCCTGTAAGAGCAAGAATTTCCTGATACCCCTTGTGCCTAGCCACGATCGCCACGATCATGACTTTCGCGTGCTTGTCGCGTCGTCTCGCCTCCCCTTAATCTCTTCGGCAATTTTCCTGCAAATTCACACTGTCGTATGATCAAACCAATCGTTCCGTTGAAATTTACACAGAAAAGGTGAAACAAGTTTATTTAATCCTGTGTTAATCAAAATATCCAACGAACATACTTTTTCAAATGATATGTAATTATGTAAATTGTAATGTTTCTTCTATATCATTCGATTTGTAGTACCTTCGTTCATTCCTATCGTTTATTAATGTCGATTGCACTTTATCGCAGAAAGCTGTAATTTAATGTCTTTATGAATTATCGTTCTTCAGTAATTGCACTATTTTTGTCACGAACGGTCATTGAACTCAATGGATAACGCTTGGAAGGAGTCGTAACGCGCGGGAACACCAATACGACCACGTATACAGAGAGATGTAGACAATAAATGGTCAACAATTTTGCATTCGATCCGCGTCTCAATAAAGAGTACGGACGGCGCGGCATCGAGAAACCTCGGAAGTCATGATTTATACTAGCAACATTTTTACCACGCGTTCCCGTTCTTATTCTACGATCCATGAAAGAAACATTAGAAAATCGTTCTACTCTTCTCCAACAGAAGAAGTTATTCCGCTTAGCGAAATTCCTACGATTTTTACCGTAACGAAAAACGCGCAACAATTGCCCGCATCCGGGGTGAAACGCTCGCAGTTTCTTCTATCTTTATATTCCCGTCGCCTGCGATCGAACAGCAAATTAATCTCCGTCGATTTCCTGAATACGTTTATTTATACATACTGATTTCCCTCAAACAATTAATTATTTCAGGGTATCCATCCATAATACTTTCGTATCATAACACTTGAAATGATGCGTATTTGTAAGCGTAATAAATTTCCATTCTCTAGGAAATGATTAATTTCGTGGCTTTTGAAATTTCGTGAGCAATTAATCAGCTGAGCCTCAATCGCAGAACATTTCCCGGTGCCGTCAGCTGATTATGACATTTAACAGCTCTTCCTGTGATATGTTTTATTTTCCCTGGAAGCATAACGCATCCAAGTTAAACAAACATACCTATTTCCACCTTCACTCGTCAGCTAATGATTCATGTTAAGTTCAACATGCAGTCGCTATCATTACACTCTGTTGTTAACACTATCAATAAGTTCAATGACTCAGTCTTAGCTCACCGATTCCAACTAACGCTTCTAGTTTACAAACTGGATGAACCTTAATTCTTCTGAGTTATTTTCATACTCAGAAAATTATTATTCTGTAGTACATCATCATACGACATATGGTGAATTATAAAACCAGTGAATCGTTAAATTGCAGTCTTTAAAAAATTAATGATAATGGCACACGTTGCTATTTGTAATACAGGTTAAACTTTTCAAATATGACAACATGTAATACATAAAATAAAATATGTAATATTTAAGAACTGAAATTAATTTCTACTTAGCGTTCATCTTTTTAAACGCGGTCATAGAAATACAATTTTGTTCATCGTATTAATGTAATATAGGAAATGGAATAAAATATCGTAAATTGTAGTCACAGATGCATGCAATTATGACTTTCACGAATGGAAATAACAGAAAACGAATTGATTTATTAGAAATACTTTCACACGTGATCATTAAAATGCCATTGTACACCTTGAAGAAATTCCAGCTCTATAGAAG